ACAAGTCCAGGGCGCTGGACCCACAGACTGGTAGAAGATCTCCAAGAACTTGCTGCACACACTGAAAGACCTGAACTTTCTCACGAAGTAACTCATGCTCTTCTTGTACACAGCATCACTGTTGTCCCTCCAGTCCAGTCTGCTTATGTCACTGCTGTGACAAGCCCACCTCACATTTGAGGATTATTACACGTAAACCTGAGGTGTTCTAGACCAGTGTGGTATCCTTATGAACATGTCTGAAGAGTAAAAGCAGGTGTCTTATCTAAAGCACAGGCTGACTGCAGACGTCAGGGCTGATGACTTCTGTGCCGCCCTCTTGTGGCAAAGCCCTCGAACTACACGAGCTCAGGCCTCCGCGCGCACTGCTCTTCGTGCGTCCTGCACCTCAAAAGCACTCTTTAGAATATGTGTGGTATGTTTGACTGGGAGAGGACGTACATGTGAACGCTCCAGTGTGATGTCACGTAAAAGGAGAGATCCTTTAAGGATGATGAAAAATGAAAGCGTGCGGGGCGTGCTGCGTGATTAACAGTCCGTCCTGGCCGCTTCACTTGGACCAGTGCGGTTGTGTTTGCGGCAGGACAGTGATCTGGGACACGCTTTGTGATATTTGTGCCGTTTTTTCCCCATGAGCGCATGATCGCGTTATCCTCAGCAGAGCGCTACTGTTCTGGGCCATCCGCGGCGCGCGCCCCCTGCTCAGCCGCAGCGGCAGCGCGCGCATTCCTTTGAGGAGGGCACGCGACCGCACACTCCGCGTATCCTTCACTGCACGATGGCGTGAGCCCGGACTGCGCCCAAAAACTGTCGGAGCTGTGCTTTTAAGACTCCTCAGCCATGGAGCTGCTGCTGCTGCTGTTGTCTCTGCTGTGGCGCCACGCGTCCTGTGGATCTCCGAGCGTCCAGATCGGTGAGTCGTGCCCGTCTCCTCCACCGTGCGCCATTCCTCACACTCATCCCCGAACCGCGCTGCTGCCACACAATACACCTTATACCCGTGCATACTTTCATTTTCATCTCTTTCCACGTGCGGCTCCTTCGTTCACAGCCTTTAATGTCAGTGCGCGTGCACGCGGGTTCTCGCGCACGGGTCTGCCATGGCGTTCAACAAGGACAGAGACGGAGACATGTTTAGTGAGGAGGAGCCTGGTGCAGTTCACACTGAGAGCCTGGTGCATACACACCGCACATCCCCGTGTCTCCGGAGCCGCGCTCCGTGCTGTGGCGTGAATGCGCTGTGTGCGGGGTTTGTCCGCTGTGTGCGGGGTTTGTCCGCTGTGTGCGGGTCGAGGGATCCGCTCAAGGTGCTATTGGCTCCACTTTTTTGAGAGCTGTATGACAGGGTATTTTACAGACAATAAACATCATAAATGTAACCTTATTTGCAAACATTCTACGTTATCATTGATTGTCTCTGCTAAGCTCAAAGTGTCTTGCCCGGTGGCACCATGTCATACTCAAGACTACAGAAAGGCATGGCTCATTTCCAGCAGCGCCCTGGCCCCTGAGCCGAGAGCGCAGCTCATGTAAATCACTGCATATCGCCCTCGTGTTTGTGCTCGTTCAAGCGGAAGAGCTATAGGCCCGAGTCCTCCTATAGCCCGCCGCAGAGCGCACAGCAGCGGAGCGCACAGCAGCCCGGAGGAGGCCTGCCCGGGCCTCCGGGCCTATCTCCCGGTGTGTGCCATGCGCTGTTGCCTCCCACGACCTGATAACAGTGCAGGGCCCGGGAGCACCGGGAGTACCGGGAGCACCGGGAGCAGGGAGCACCGGGAGCATCGGGAGCACCGGGAGCATCGGGAGCACCGGGAGCAAGGAGCACCGGGAGCAACGGGAGCACCGGGAGCACCGGGAGCACCGGGAGCGGGCTCTCTGTGGCGCACAGGCCCGTACAGAGGCCCGGAGCTCCGCAAGGCACGGCGCGCGGAGGAGACATTTCAGCCCCAGGAGACAGAAAAGAGCGGCACTAAAATAAAACTCTCTCCTCCTCAGGCTCACAGACACACGTGACCTACTTTCTCTTTCTGGGCTATTCTTCACCAGCTCAGGAGCTCCCTGTATCACATACAAGCGCACATGTGTCTCTCTCCCTCCCCCCTCTCTCTCTGTCTCTGTATTCTGCTCTCTCTTCCTTTCTTCCTCCCCAAGACCCTCTCTTCTCTTCTCCTCTCTCTTCTCTTCTCCTCTCTCACCCTGTCTTCCCTCTCTGCCCTAACCCCTCTGGTTTCTGGTGTCTGGTCTCTTGTGTCCTGCAGGGGGCCTGTTTCCGCGGGGAGCAGACCAGGAGTACAGTGCATTCCGTGTGGGCATGGTCCAGTTCGGAATGGCAGACTTCCGCCTGACGCCTCACATAGACAACCTGGAGGTCACTAACAGCTTCGCGGTCACCAACTGCTGTGAGTACATCTCTCTTAGTCCACTGGCTATTCAGAGGTGAACTTTTTCCAAATGGTTAAGGTTTTCTTGTCCTGCAAGATGGACTTTCAAAGCTTTTCACCATGTTCTAGTTCAGGGCTGTCAAACTCAAACTCACAGAGGCCAAAATTAAAAACTGGGACTAAGTTGTGGGCCAAACTAAATATTTATTGAAAAATTTCAACAACATCTGCATGTTTTCTCTTCTTTCAAGATATGTAATGTTAAACCTTTTCTTATTCAAATAACTGTTTAGTAATAGTTTTGCTTAAACACTCACCCCAGAAAAAGCGTCATTTAAAATAATATCAAAATTTGAAATCAATAATGTATATATCAGAGCTGGTGCGCAGCTCTAATACATATTTAATATGGTCTCGCAGGCCAAATATAATTATTTTGCAGGCCACATTTGGCCCCCAGGCCTGAGTTTGACATGTCTGCTCTAGTTGTTCTGTGCATGTATGAGTCATCTTTATTCTCCTCTATTCAAGCCGTCACCCACTGTGACGTACACTCCCACTGTGATGTACAGTACATACCCACTGTGACGTACACGCCCACTGTGTCGTACACATGCACTATAATGTACGCTGTGACATACACATCCACTGTGACGTACACGCCCACTGTGACGTACACTGTGATGTACATGTCCACTGTGAAGTACACACCCTGTAACATACACTGCGAAGTACACTGACATACACTGTAACGTACACTGCGAAGTACACTGAGATGTACACTGCGACGTACACTGCGACCTACATTGCGACGTACACTGCGACGTACACTGAGACGTACACTGGGACGTACACTGCGATGTACACTGACATACACTGTGACGTACCCTGCGACGTACACTGCGATGTACACTGAGACGTACCCTGCGACATACACTGCGACGTACACTGCGACGTACACTGGGACGTACACTGCGACGTACACTTAGACGTACACTGGGACATACACTGCGACGTACACTGCGACGTACACTGAGACGTACACTGGGACGTACACTGCGATGTACACTGACATACACTGTGACGTACCCTGCGACGTACACTGCGATGTACACTGAGACGTACCCTGCGACATACACTGCGACGTACACTGCGATGTACACTGGGACGTACACTGCGACGTACACTGCGATGTACACTGAGATGTACACTGGGACGTACACTGCGATGTACACTGACATACATTGTGACATACATTGTGACGTACACTGCGACGTACACTGCGACGTACACTGCGACGTACACTGAGACGTACACTGGGACGTACACTGGGACATACACTGCGATGTACACTGAGACGTACACTGATATACACTGCGACTTACACTGACATACACTGCGACGTACACTGACATACACTGTGACGTACATATCATTTAGTTTCCGTTTTGGTAAAAATGGAAAGTAAACGTGCAGTTCTCTTGTGTGATGCTCAGCTGTCCTCTGGAGAGGCCGACAGCAGGGGCACTTTGTTGTGACAATATTTAGGATGACACACCCAAAAGAGGCCAGTGGGAATCAGGTCCTTATACCTACAACTTGGACATCATCGGGCTTGTTTTCTTTATTTAGATCAATATTTCGATTTCCAAATGATAACATACTGATGCATGGGGGAGATTATAAGTAGCACAAGCACAATATGTATTGGGGTCTGTCTCTTGGCATCTATATTATGCTACTTTCTGATGTTATAATGTTTTTTTCTCATCACAAACAGACCTGGAGTTGTGTTTTGTGAGTTCTTCTCTCAAACAGAAAACACTCTTGTGATGTGTTGAAGCGGTAATACAGGAAGTGTTTTCTGGGTTTTTTAAGCCAAGCATCTTTAGAAGAATCATTTGGGTCATTTCCAGTACTGGATTTGTCTGATTTTGGAGTTACAGCTGTTGTTTTATTCTCACTGAAATGGCTTTACTCCTTGATGCACCAGCAGACAAATGGACTCTCCTGATAATCTCAGTCTCTTTTTTTTATGTAAGCAACTTATGACTGATATAATGTATTGTAGAGTTAATCAGTTCAATTGAGGTTAAAATGCTTTAAAACTTTAAAACTACCACTTCATGACATCACAAGGTGGAATGGAGTATTTTGAGCTATGGAGATGTAGGCAGACAGAGCTACACAAACATATGTGAATGAAACAAAACTCCAGGTAATGTGGCTTAAAGCTCACAAGAGTCAGTTTTGCATAACACAGGACGTTTAAAAGGGAGTGATTCCAGGTGGATATTGCAGGGCACATTTTCCTGGTGCTGTAATATCTGTGTGTGTTCTGGCTGCGGGTTACACTGAACTGCCTGTACCAGATTGTTTCCATGCAGTTGAGCAGAATGGGTCCTGTCCCAGTGCAGATAGCCTACATTGTAAAAGCAGCTCTTAAGGTTCAAATGAGACCGCTGTGTGCTGACTGAATCTAATTATGTGACATGACAAAGTGAAGTCTAAGCTCATACTATGCCAGTGCTTCTCCCTGGGGGGCGCGAGGCTCCGTCAAGGGGGGCGCGTTTGACCTCGGGGAGCATGCTTTTTTATTTTTTTATTTTGATTTTTTTTACTGTCTTAAGGGCCGTTCACACCAAAGCGTCAAAAAACGCCTTGACGCCTCTATTTGGAGCCTTTGCATTTGAGTTTAGACGCCCCCGACGCGCATCTTTGACGCCGTGGACGAACGGGACAAAAATACTTGACGCGCGTCCGTTGCCCTGGAAACAAGACCCCGGTCCCGCTCTTTTCCCGAAACAATGTCAGACCAGACTGAGAGACTGTTTTTATGACATAAAACATCAGCGGAGGAGATCGGGTCGACGACTGGGGCGTATATATATTTCTACTCCGCTAATGACACTGGATCAGTCCCGGTCTAGTCCTGGTCTAATACCGGTCTGGTCCCGGTCTAGTCCTGGTCTAATCACGGTCTAGTCCCGGTCTGGTCCCGGTCTAATCACGGTCTAGTCCCGGTCTAGTCCTGGTCTAATCACGGTCTAGTCCCGGTCTAGTCCTTGTTTAGTCTCGGTCTAGTCCCGGTCTAGTCCTTGTTTAGTCCCGGTCTAGTCCTGGTTTGGTCCTGGTCCGGTCCTGGTGTAGTCCTCGCGATCAGCTCGGTGATTGTGGTGTATATATTTATTCTCCGTTCATGTTTGTGGTTCTCGTTCTGGTTCTCGGGTCTTTCTTCCTGATAATAACGTCGCTGCGTCTCTGGATACTCGTCCCTGATTGGTTGACGCGGCGCGTCTGACGCGAAAAGTTCAGCATTTTCAACTTCTTGACGTTGACGCCTTGGACGCGCGTCTTGGCCGCTGACGCCAAAACGCTGAAGACGCGCTGCGCTGACGCCAGATTCGCGCCGCGCTGACGCCGAAAACGCGCCGCAAAAACGCAGGACGCTCTAGTCGCGCGTCCACATAGACTTTACATAGAAAGTGGACGCTTTGACGCTTTGGTCTGAACGGGCCTTTAGAATAAAGTGCAATTGCACTTCCACTACATTAGGGGGCAGTGGCGCTCTCATTGGCAGAGTGTGCGCAGGGACATGGCACAGGGAGCATTCGCTCGGTGGTGTAGGAGTTTTGTTTGCACTGAGCATGCGCGCTTTGCACACAGCACAGAGTTTGAGGATGAAGTGTAGACACGAAGTGTAGCAGACCCTCAAGTGACACCATGAAAAAATATTTAACAGGGATGAGAAGACAGGCGGAGAGAGACGGAGATAAAGAGACAAACGAAAATCTCCCGAAAGCTAAGACGAGGAAATATGACGAAGCGTATGTAGCGCTTGGCTTCACTGTGACTACAGTGGGAGACGAGGAAAGACCGGTGTGTTACTGTGTCTAAAAATGTTGGCAGCGGACAGCATGAAGCCCAATAAATTAAGGCGTCACTTAAATACATTACACCCCAATCACTCTGATAAGCCGCTTGAGATTTTTCAGCGAAAACGTGCCGAATATTGCCGACAATCATTCCGCTTTGTGACTGCTACTTCAGTAAACCAGCGAGCGTTGTTGGCATCATATAAGGTGGCAGTGTTATGCAGAGGTGTACTTATAACAATTTTATAGACAAATGATACTATTTATAGTCACGCGGGGGGGCGCGAGATGTTTTATTCGTCCTAGGGGGGGCATGACAGAAAATAATTGAGAAGCACTGTACTATGCCAACAAGAGATCTTGTCTTTCCCCTAAAGCATCGTTTCCATAGGGCCAGGTGTCCTGTTAATTTGAGATACTCGTCGATTTGAGCTCCCTAGTGCTACTGCGCATGTGCATAACCCCCAAGCGCTGTTCCAGTTTAATGCTGTCGATTTGAGCTCCCAAGGCAGAAGTGGAGTAACAAGTAACATTTGAAAAGTGTATTGGTTTCAGGGCCGGTCCTGGGGCGAGGGGGGGGGGGGTTAGCTCCTGTGCAGTCATTGGATGACCAACAGCACGGCAAAACTGACGCACCTGTAGCAAAGACAGTGCGAACCATGTAACTGTTATTTAACAACTGTACAGCACACATGCACAGAAGAGCTGAAGAAACAACTTGCAGCGTGAAACTCTCATCCACCTGAGAACATGTCCAGTCTCCTGTGCAGGGCATTTACATTCTCACTGTCAAGTGTTGCAGATAATAATAAATCCATATCCAGTCAAAGTCTGCTGTGGCCGTGTAAAGTTGAAGCCAAACTGAAAACATGAACCGAACTCCACAAACTTCCTCCTCCTCGGTCTCAGTAAAAGTGTATATCCCAAATGTGGTGTATATATCCATTGTGGAGCTGGTGTGCATAAAGATGCAGCCAAACAAGACCACATAAAGTTATCCATAATCCTCCACCTCCGCACGTGTAAAAAAAAGTTAAGTTACAACAAAACAGACAGAGTTGTGCTCTCTGTTTCATTTGCATTTGCTTTGAGTTATAATCTGAACATCGATGAGTGTTGGTGCACAGGTCTTTTGACAGCTGTCCAGCGACTCACGGCACAGGCCTAAAGCTAAGCAGGCCTGGGCCTGGTTAGTACCTGGATGAGAGACCACTGGGATTACCAGTTGTAACAGCGGGGTCACAGTGTCATTGAAAAATCACTTTATTTGTCCCCGAGGAGCAGTTGAAATACATTGAGCAGTTAAATACAATAATAATAGAAAAGTAATAATCAGATCCAGTGTTAGGGCATTTTGGCCGACCTGGGCATTATCATCTTCATATCTTTATACAAGGCACTCACTTCTGCCAGTCTGTCCCAGAGCAGCTGTGACTACAGCAGTATCTTACCATCACCTTTTGTGCAGTGAAATAATAATGATGACTACAGAGCTCTCAGAGGCCTTGTTGAACCTTTAAAGAACATTATTGATAAGACAGTTTCTAGTTACAAATGAGATGAAGTGACTGCATTGCCATAGTCTTTTCTTCAATAGGGCATCTTGCTTTAAAGTGCATCTGACAGGTGAGACTGCCCAATGGGTTTTGTAGTTGTAGTAACACTATTTATCTATATCATATATATCACAGTTACAAGTACCTTGGTATCCCACAAGCAAATGGCTCCTCAAAGAGGCAACAAGGAAAGCAGCTACGGCCAAATACCTGCAAAGAGTGAGACAAGTCCTAAGAAGCAGCTCAATGGCAAGAACAAGGTTCAGGCAATAAACAGCTACGGCGTGTCAGTGATCCAATACACAGCTTGAATCATGCACTGGCCAAAGGAGGAGATACAGACCACAGATGTTAAGACACGAAAGCTCCTGACCATGCATGGAGGGTTCATCCCAAATCCAGCACCCTGAGACTGTACGCAAGCTGGAAGGAAGGAGGCCGAGGACTAGTGAGTGTGGGAACCACTGTCCAGGATGAAAAATCCAAGCTCCTTGAGTACATCATGAGGAAGAGGTGCTGGAGGGACCATCATGGCAGGACAAACCCCTACATGGGGCGAACCACCGGAACAGAACTGAGGAGGCTGATATCAAGAAATCCTACCAATGTCTTGAGAGGGCTGGTCTGAAGGACACACAGAGGCTCATCCTGGAGCACAGGAGCAGGATCTGGGCACTCAAGCAATAGAGGCCCAGATCTACCAGACAAGAGTTACGGTGTAGACTGTGCAAAGATGCTCCTGAGACAGTCCAGCACAGAACTGCAGGTGTAAGTTGCTGCAGGGAAACAAACATGGAGCGACATAACCAAGTGGCACCATAGTGTACAGAAACATCGGTGCAGAGTACGAGCTGAAAACTCCAGGATCAAGGTGGGAAACACCTCCAAAGGTTGTGAAGAACAACTGAGCCAAGATCCTGTGAGACTTCCAGACACAGACTGACAGGATGGTGATGAACCAACCAGACATAGTGGTGGTGGAGAAGAAACAGAGCAGAGTCGTGGTGGTGGACATCACAATTCCAAGTGATGGTAATATCAGGAAAAAGGAACACGAGAAACTAGAGAAATACCAGGGGCTCAAGGAGGAGCTGGAGAAGGTCTGGAAAGTAAAGGCATCAGTGGAGCCTGTTGTGATCGGAGCACTCAGGGCTGTAACCCCCAAACTGGAAAAGAGGCTACAACAGATACCAGGAAAAACAATGGACAAAGGGCAGAACAGGAACAACAAAGATACTGATGAACTCTCAGGCTCCCAGGAGGAGCCGAGCGGAATGAGGGTGAGAGACCAACCACCGTGGAATGTGAGAAACACATGGTTTAAAAATTATATATATATATAAAAAAAAAATAAAAAAAAATGTGTTTCTCACCTTCCACGGTGGTAGGTCTCTCTCACCCTCATTGAGCTCGGGTCCTCTACCAGAGGCCTGGGAGCTTGAGAGTTCTGCGCAGTATCTTTGCTGTTCCCAGTACTGCACTTTTCTGGACTGAAATGTCCGTTGTTTTTCCCGGTATCTGTTGTAGCCACTCTTCCAGTTTGTATATATATATATACATACATATATATATATATATACATATATATATATATGGCGTTACTACAGCACAATCACAATCAATCTAATGAAACTATTGCACATTGCATCAATTTGCTGTGTTCAGTTTTGTATCATGTTTGTGTATGTTTATGGAGAATTGTCAGATTGTGGTGTGGGAACATGGGTGCTTTAGGCTTGTGGGAGAAGTCTTGTACAAAACCTTGCAAACTTATTTCCTGTGTTTTTGTACTTTTCTTCTCAACTTGTTTTTCCACAAACTGCAACTTAACTAATGTGAAACTGTGATAAATATTGACCACAGATAGTACCCACCAAACTAAGGCAGAATAAGAAAAACATGAAAACCTGTCATATGCATTTTGATGTTATCTTGATGAAGATTCCATCTTCTCCAGTCTGTTCCCAGTTTTCTCGAGGCGTCTTTGCCATATTTGGATTCTACGATAAGAAGTCGGTGAACACCATCACGTCGTTCTGTGAGACACTCCACGTGTCCTTCATCACGCCCTCCTTCCCCATCGAGGGCCAAAACCAGTTTGTCCTGCAGATGAGGCCGGACATCAAGGGCCCCCTGGTGTCCCTGGTGGAGTACTACAAGTGGGAGAAGTTTGCTTATCTCTATGACAGCGACAGAGGTGCAAACAACAAACAACAGGATGACTGAATGTTCACCTGTCTTCTACCTGTTAGCCAATCATAGCCTGCTCCTTGTGTCTTCATATAAATGCACTCTCTCAGCAGCAGCAAAACCATTAGCCTCCTCAGCCTCTCCATCTCATCCTCTTCACTTCATTAGCAGTTTATTCCAAGTACATCATTGTCTGTCTTCAATGTCATTGTGTGTCTTCATTGTCATGAATATTCTTTGGGAGTTAAAGGTAACTTGAGGCATTCCTCTGTCTGTCTGAAGCTGTGGGCCTCAAGTTAGACTTTAATCTAAGCTTTGTTTAAACACAATCAGAGCAAAAAAATAAAAAAAATAATAATAAAATAACCTAGCCCTGGTAAACTGATTTGAGCTTTTAAACTAAGCTGTAGAAATATATATTTTTTTCTTTATTCTTTCTTTATTTATTTTTGTAGTATATTTCCATGGTAACTAACCCCAATCAGAAGACAAACAACAAAGAACTGGCACAGATGACAACAGAATAAAACACTTGTAAATAGAAACAGATCATTTTTTGCTGTGTTTAGGGCTGTCCACGCTGCAGGTCATACTGGACACTGCCGCAGAGAAGAAGTGGGTTGTCACGGCGATAAATGTGGGCGAGCTGAAAGACGAGAGGAAAGACGAAGCATACCGCTCACTCTTCCAGGTCAGGCTCATATTATTTAAATTTTTTTTTAACAAATTGCAGCATATTTCTGCCACCCTCCCACGTGACAACGAACTAAAGTTGCTACAATGATGACGCGGCAGATACACCTATGACATGTTTGAAAACGCTTCACACCTGCTAAGCTCATTGTTTTACACTGCAGTTACATGATATAATAAGTTTATCTACTAGTGTTTATTAAAACTTTACCAATCAGTAATGTTCAGCTGATGTTGACGTGGTGCTTGAGCTTCATGCTCCTCAAAGTCCTCATCTGATTCCGGGTCCAACACATGCGGCTGAATGCGCTGTATCTCCATGATGAATAAAAGTTTATTCCTGCCGCTATCAGGGTCACGCCTGTCTCCCCCTCCCTCCCTGAGATGGGCAGAGGAAGGGCGGCTCACTCATCGCCTACGTCACGTTTGGAGGGCGGAGCCTGTGCTTTCTCAGGACGGGCGGGGGGAGGAGCAATAGTTGACCTTTCATAGTTCCTGGTCTGTGACTGTCGCCAAGAAATCAGTAAGATTTCAGAACTATTGTGTAATGGATGTTCCAAAACCCAAATTGTGCTTGTTTATGTGCAGAAGATGCAAGGTGAAAAGAGTTATTTTACATGAGACCTTTAAACAAGCAATAAAACTAGTAAAGCTCTCAAGCCAAAGTGCTGATCCATGTATGCTCATTTATTAAGATGGACAGAGTTCTTACATTTGTTAGTCATGAAATGTTTGAGAGTGAATTTATGCTTTTGTTATCGTTAGCCCTGTGCATCCAGTAGCATAACAGAGCCTGACAGAACAGTTATAACAGTGGGAACTGGTGAATATTAAACTTTATCAATATACAGGGCACAGACATGTTGGATTTTCTGGTTCTGAAATGCATGGGTGTACCAGTGTGAATCTACAAGGATGGCCTGAGCTGGAGAATTTTCTGGGGAAACCTGAGTTCTCAGAGGAAACCCTCGCAGACACAGGGAGAAACATGCAAACTTGCACAAAAAGGCGCAGTCCAAGTGACTGCACCTTTACATCTGCAGTCCCCAGGGAGGTGCACACACCAAATAATGTAATGTAATGTTATAACATGTAATATATAGTACATTAATTACATTCCTATTTTACTTAATAGAAAATTCTGTAAAATACACAGTTAAAGGTTACAATTTCTAATACATTACCCAGGGTAATAAGTTCAAATCTGGTTAGATTATGATGCTGGTTCAGATTTGGTCCATGTTTAGTCAAGGTCTGGTCCAGGTCTACTTCATAGTAAACCCAGGTGTGTCCAGTGGATGTAGTCATGTCCATGCTGCTGACCTTCCCTCTGTTTCAGGACCTGGAGATCCGCAAAGAGCGGCGCATCATCCTGGACTGTGAGCAGGACAAGGTCAAAGACATCCTGGAGCAGGTGAGTCTGAGCACAGTCATAGGGCCAGTCTGCTGCTTCATATGTGCCAGTGGGCAAGACACATATAACCCATGTCTCGTCCAGGGTCTGTGCTCACTGCTGTGTGAATGAAAATGCTCTAAATACAAGTGAAAAAAAGCTTAATTGAAAGTTAAGGTTTTTCTTGTTTTTTTTTTTTTTTTTATCATTTCCACAGGTGATCACCATTGGGAGACATGTCAAAGGATACCACTACATTATTGGCAACCTGGTAGGATAATGCACTATATGCATACTTGTCTGTCAAATTTAGAAGCCTTCTAACCAAAGTGAAAGGCCCCTCTAATCTGAGGAGCACTGCTTTTATTTGCATGTTGTTATTGTTGAAATATGACCTAACATGGAGTCAGAATGTTTTAAGTTTTAAGTAAGCACAGAGCATTGGGAGGGAATCGATGTAAACAGACATTTTCAGTGTACTCATGCATTAAATGAATAGTGTTACTCAAATATGCAGGAATCGACTGAATTACAGCTGATGAAGGAACACAGTTACAACATGGTTAAAAGCTCATAAATGTTGATTTTATTTCATATTTACCCATTTAAAAAGTAAACATACATTCTAACGAGTCAGCCTAGTTGCACCCCCTGCTTGTCAGAAAAGTTACATAGTTGACCTTTAGGTGTTTGGAGGACTCCAAGAAATAGAACAGGCCAGAATATAAATCTAGACACGCCCTTAACCTCAAAGTAGAAGGATCATATTAAGATGAATAAAGTGTCAAGTTTAGTGTCAAGCAAATCGTGTCAAGTTTTGATGATTCTCTCCTTTTTACTTAATTTTATGGGATAATATCCATTGAAATATAAATGATATTTTTACACCAATCAAGAAGCAGTTTGTGTAGAAAAGTTGAAAAATGTATACAAAATTCCAGGAAGTAGAGAGCTCTAAACACACTAATGACATCACACAAGGGAGAATACTATCCAAAAGTTCAGTACAATTTATACTTACAAAACACATATGTTGGATATTTGATTTCAACAAAATAAAAGTGCTTTCTTATCTTTTAATTTGTCAATTCACAATTTCTGTGACATTAGAGGAGTTTGGGCATACTGTACTACATGGTTGCTTGGTAACAGTTATGGAATTCCCTAGTGTGATTTCATGATTTCCATCTTGGAAATAATATTTTCAACCTAAAAAATTAAGAAAAAGTTTTAAAATTTTTAGTAAAAGTCCTAGGCACTTGACATGACTTCTGTACGGGTTTGAATAGGGCTTCTTGGATGGAGACCTGTCTAAGATCCAGTATGGAGGAGCCAATGTGTCCGGCTTTCAGATTGTGGACTTTGATGACCCTGTGGTGGCCAAGTTTGACCAGAGATGGGAGGCTCTGGAGGAGAAGGAATACCCAGGAGCAGATGCACGCATCCGGGTGAGTGCTCAGGCTGCATGGCCTGGAGAAGAGACGCTTTTTTCTTAAATGATATTGAACGAGTGTCAACAGACTTGGCACAGATGTTATGATCCATCTATATGCCCTCTCACCAAGAAGACCCTCAGTGAACAGCAACTGGAAACATCTGTGAGGCCAAATTGCTGCATCATGAAGGTCTTATGTACTTTTCATACAGAGCAGAATGACTTTACTTTGGTATAAAATTACTGCTGATAATACTCCAGTCGACATATAATGAATAAAATATATATTTTAACTGTGATTGGTTATGTCGTCTCATAAAAATGTAGTCTCATAAACAGCTTTAGCTTTACCTTTTTACCAGAAGTGTAGTGTTAAATTGAATTTACACATGGTTGAGTAATCCTGCCTTTAAACTGTCTCCTCCCCCCACAAAGGTTCGTCAGTGTTTTTAATATTATATATAATATAATATATACTCCGTGGTTAGAGCACTCATCCAGCAACTGGAAGCTTAGAAGATTCAAACCTGCTCGGGCCTAGTTTTATTGTTGTGTACTTAGGCAAGATACTTCATCCCTTGATTGTGTATTATGTGGTATATGCGTGTGTGATGGTGGTGGTCTGTGGGGCCCATGGTGCAGATTGACAGCCTTGTTTCTGTCAGTCTGCCCCAGGGCAGCTGTGGCAAACAATAGAAGCTCATCACCACTGAGTGTGGAGTGAATGAAGAATGCTCTGTAACGAAGAGCCATTTGAGTTCAATCTGTAACACAGGATAGTTTTTAGCCTTATCTAAACTGCTTTACTCATCAGTGCTACGTGAAACACTTGGGTGACCAAAGGCATTTTTAAAACACTGAATAATAAATATATTTGGCCTCTTCCATCTTTTCTATTCTCAAGTAGAGATTCTGCAGTCTGCAGCTGCTTTGATTAAATATTGTTTTATGGTGGGAATACATGAAAGAAATGTTTATTTGTTTCACTGTTAATGGAGAAATTAAACAGAGGCCACACTGAACGTTCTTCACGTGTGTGTTCTTGTTCCAGTACACATCAGCTCTGACCTATGACGCGGTGCATGTGATGACTGAGGCCTTCCGCTACCTCTACAAACAGAGGATTGACATGAACCGGCGTGGTAACACCGGGGACTGCCTGGCCAACCCGGCGGTGCCCTGGGCCCAGGGCGTGGAGATCGAGCGTGCACTCAAACAGGTGAGGGCTGGGGCCAACATCACCGTGGAGTTAAGATCATTTTCCTTATATAAAACAAAAACAGAAGAGCACAGCGTCTGAATTGGAGTACACAAAGTGTGTGCAAACCTGTGTGTGGCTGTGTGTGTGCACAGGTACGAGTGGATGGACTCACAGGGAAGATACAGTTTGATCTGCATGGCCGAAGAGTCAACTACTCAGTGACCATCATGGAGCTGAAGAACAACGGCCCCGTCAAGGTACACACATTTACACATGCACACACATACACACACATTTACACATGCACACACATACACACACATTTACACATGCACACACACACACACACACACACACACATATACGTATATATATATATATATATATATATATATATATATATATATATATATATAAAAACAAAAACCTGTGTAGGCGTGTGTGTGTGTGTATATATATATATATATATATATATACACACACACACACACACACACACGCCTACACAGGTTTTTGTTTTTTGGACAGTGCAGAGATATTGACTTACATGTATTTCTTGGAGAGATACTCATGGGGAGTTTTGGGGTCACTTATCATCCCTGCACTGCATTGACTGAAATATACAGTAGATCAGAGTCCAGGTTCATTCAACACAAACAGTTTTCTCAGTCCTTGATGTTGGAACATCCTGTTTGAAAGATATTCTTTTCTGTAACAATGTTCAGTGAAAGATGATTAAACAGTACTTAGTAACAATCTGAATACTCTAACACATTGCCTACTAACATGTTACTCCCAACTTTTCTAGAAGATCTAGAACTTGTCATGCTTGGAAAAAGCAACTCCCTTAAAAAACATTACACACTGACATAAACTAATGTGAAAATAACATTCAAAATTTAATTTATTTTATTTTGTTCATTGATATCTGATTCAACATATGCTCCGTTTGGGCACCAGATTGGTTATTGGAACGAGCTTGACAAGATGGTGGTGACCAAGTCAGACTTGTACCCCAATGACACCATGGGGATGGAGAACAAGACCGTGATCGTGACCACCATTCTGGTAAGATCTAAGGGTTTACAAACTCCAAAGACAGATCCTGGAACATGCTTTAACCACTGTGCGTGTGCAGGAGGCTCCCTACGTCATGCTCAAGAAGAACGCAGAGCTCTTCCAGGACAATGAACGCTACGAGGGTAAACGGCATTATTCTTTCTTCTAGCCATAGTGTTGTCACGATACTAAAATATCAAACTCCATTTTGATTCTAAGGAATAGACTCTATACTCAAACAAACAAACAAATAAACAAAACACTCCTTTAGACAATAGAATGTAATATTCAACATTCAAGTGCTTTCTTTTATATTACCATGAAATCTTATATTTGTGTAATCCCTCAGCCGTCCAGGTATATGTGCTCATATACTCGTTCTGATACAGTTTTTTTTAGTATTGATACCTGCTCAAATCTATCTAGTTTCAATTCTAGTTTTAGTATTGAAAATCTGTCCCTCCGTCCTCCTCATCTGGGAGTACAACATCATCACATTTTAGAATCTGAAAACTACCTTTTTGATATTTTTAATATGGGAAAGAGAGACAGATACTTTTTAGATCCTGGGGGAATTTCAAGTTATGCTGCAGCAAACAGTTGCTGTTTTTCCTCAACATTTCACTTCTCAGTTGCCTTTGAGTCTCAGTCAAAGGATTAACAGGAGGACTGGTCGGGTAGGGTCAGCAGATCTGTGTCAGAGCTGTTTGAGGAGAAAAGTCAGAAGTGTCTGTCCTCTGTGTCCTGCAGCATAACAGCAGAGGCCACGGAAACCCAGGTGAACACAACAGGGAAGACCTCACTCTGCTTTTTTGTTTCTGTAAAAATGTATAAAAGAAAATGTGTCTTTTACTTATTTTAAGTACAGCAGCCAGTGGCATCTACCAGTAAAACAAATGAGCTGTAACATCTGTGACTGACTGTTAGAGAGCCCAGTGCCCATGCAGAGTCTGGCTGTGGCATGCCACTAGCCTGGCTGCTCTCTCTCTCTTCCAGGTTATTGTGTTGACTTGGCTGCGGAGATTGCCAAGCACTGTGGCATCCGTTACCAACTGCGCATCGTGGGGGATGGCAAGTACGGGGCCCGCGACGCAGAGACTAAAATCTGGAACGGAATGGTCGGGGAGCTGGTGTATGGGGTAAGGGAGTGACATAAGCCTGCACATTCTACATTCACACATGCACAGTTCCAGAATATTACCGAGACTGCCCTATTCACACAGAGCCTGGTCTTTGTCTCTCTGCACTTTCTCATAGAGCAGTGAGCTGCACATTCAGCTGAATTGAATGAGAGTGAATTGTAATCAAGGAAACCAAAGCATTGGTCTGGACAATTTTCTAGCTTTACTCATAGTCACACTTAAGTCTTCCAAGCATATTCTCAGGAATTTACCCAGGAAATTGCGAGATTAAAAATGCAGAGAAATCAGTTCTGGCTTTGTTCAAACATGACCCTGTTCTGGCAAAATGCCTGTACACTCCTGGGTCAGGCTGCATGTGTGAATGGGGCTATAGATTCAGACAGAGGGCATTCATTGAGTAATGTCCTACTTAATATTTTCACAACAATATATCACACCTTGTACATTTTCAGTAGCATTATTTGCTGTTCATTTAGTAAGAGTTAATGTGCAGTTTTGTCTAAAACTGAGTGTGTGCTGCCTTCATAGGTTCAAGCAACACTTGGAGATTTTAATCCATGCTTTCATCACTCCCACTCTCCCCTTTAGTCCTCTATGCACTGCCCCACCTTCCCCCTCACTCTCCCCTTTGGTCCTCCAGACCCTGCCTCCCCTTTCCCTTCATTCTCCTCTTTAGTCTTCAAGACCCTGCCCCACCTTCCCCCTCACGCTCCCCTTTAGTCCTCCAGGCCCTGCCGCCCATTCCCCCTCACTATCCCCTTTAGTCCTCCAGACCCTGCCTCCTCTTCCCTCTCATTTTCCCCTTTAGTCCTCCATACACTGCCCCTCCTCCCTCTCACGCTCCCCTTTAGTCCTCCAGGCTCTGCCGCCCATTCCCCCTCACTCTCCCCTTTAGTCCTCCAGACCCTGCCCCCCCTTCCCCCTCACTCTCCCCTTTAGTCCTCTAGACCCTGTTGCCCATTCTCCCTCACTCTCCCCTTTAATCCTCCAGACCCTGTTGCCCATTCTCCCTCACTCTCCCCTTTAGTCCTCCAGACCCTGCCGCCCGTTCCCCCTCATTCTCCCCTTTAGTCCTCCAGAACCTGCCCCCCCTTCCTCCTCATTTTTCCCCTTTAGTCCTCCAGACCTTGCCCCCCCTCCCCCTCACTCTCCCCTTTGGTCCTCCAGACCCTGCTGCCCATTCCGCCTCACTCTCCCCTTTAGTCCTCCAGACCCTGCCCCCCCTCACTCTCCCCTTTAGTCCTCCATACACTGCCCCTCCTCCCCCTCACTCTCCCCTTTAGTCCTCCATACACTGCCCCTCCTCACTCTCTCCTTTAGTCCTCCAGACCCTGCCCCCCTCACTCTCCCCTTTAGTCCTCCATACACTGCCCCTCCTCCCCTCACTCTCCCCTTTAGTCCTCCATACACTGCTCCTCCTCCCCCTCACTCTCCCCTTTAGTTCTCCAGACCCCACCCTTCCTCCCCCCTCACTCTCCCCTTTAGTCCTCCAGACCCCACCCTTCCTCCCCCCCTCACTCTCCCCTTTAGTCCTGCACACACTGCCCAGTTAAACAGTTAATTTGGACTGTGGCTCTGGCCAGACTTTAGGTCTTTAGTTCTGCTTTAAACCATGTGAAGAGGTTCTTTCTGACCTGCCTGTCTCCTGCACAGAAAGCGGACATTGCTATAGCTCCTCTGACCATTACGCTGGTGCGGGAGGAGGTCATCGACTTCTCTAAGCCCTTCATGTCCCTGGGCATCTCCATCATGATCAAGAAGCCCCAGAAGTCCAAACCAGGCGTCTTCTCGTTCCTCGACCCTCTGGCCTACGAGATCTGGATGTGCATAGTATTCGCCTACATTGGAGTGAGCGTGGTGCTGTTTCTGGTGAGCACAGGCCTGGACTCATCAGAGTGTGTATGGAGTGGTAAAGAGTAGGGCTGGGCGATATGGATCAAAAAATATATCTCGATATATTTTGCTATATCTCGATATACGATATATATCTCGATATATGTTCAAGAAAAAATAACCCCCTAAAACTGAAAACTTGCAAAAACTAATCTGCCAAATTCCACAAGGTCCTTTTTTTAGTGTAAGAGGTTGACAGTTCATATAGGAACATTTAAGATTACAAAAAACCCTAATTACATAAATAATAATTTAACTGTAAAATAAAAGAAATAATACATATTTCCTTCTTTTCATTCATAAATAAACCAACTCAACACAAGCTCATCTTTGCATTAACTCTGTTATCCAAACCATAACCATAACCATGAGCTCATTTAGCAGAAGAAGTTCAGGATGTTCCTTATTTCAATAGATCCATGTTATTATCCAACAGTAAGGAGCTCTGAGGTTTCCCACAATCCACTGCAGATCAAACCCAACGTTTCCAAACACTATTGTACAAGTGACACTGCAGCAGATTATTAATTAAAATCTTCTGCATAAATAAACTTTACATTACTAAACTTTACAATACATAAAGCATAACGACTCTAGAGCGTCATCAGCCCGTTTGCGATAATAATGTGTTTAATGCAGTTCTGTGCACGTGTGTTTACATTTTACAGAAACGAAACTTAAGCGCATGGCTCATTTGCATAAACAGCACTTTTCATGCAGCTCAGCTCGTTTAGCTTCTTTCGGGCTAAAGGACGCGACTCGGTGGAATATGAGGATGTGCTGCTGATGGTTTTGTCTGTAAATGGTGGAAAATGTTCGTGGTGCTTGAAGCTTTTCACTGGCACCAACTTTCGGCGTTCACGGCGAGTGAAGTGACGAGTGAAGGAGACACGAGCGAACAAAATCAGTGAGGCGGGGGCGCGCGGGCGACGAGAGAGAAGACAAACAAGTGAAACGGCAAAATCAGAATTGAATATAAGCATTATATCGATATATACGATATGTCAGAATTCATATCGAGTTTAAAAACTATCTCGATATATTTAAAATATCGATATATCGCCCACCCCTAGTAAAGAGTGTGTATGGAGTGGTATAGAGTGTGTATGGAGTGGTAAAGAGTGTATATGGAGTGGTAAAGAGTGGTGGTAAAGAGTGGTAAAGAGTGTGTATGGAGTGGTATAGAGTGTGTATGGAGTGGTATGAGTGTGTATGGAGTGGTAGAGTGTGTATGGAGTGGTAAAGAGTGTGTATGGAGTGGTAAGAGTGTGTATGGAGTGGTAAAGAGTGTGTATGGAGTGGTATAGAGTGTGTATGGAGTGGTATAGAGTGTGTATGGAGTGGTAAAGAGTGTGTATGGAGTGGTATAGAGTGTGTATGGAGTGGTATAGAGTGTGTATGGAGTGGTATGAGTGTGTATGGAGTGGTATGAGTGTGTATGGAGTGGTATAGAGTGTGTATGGAGTGGTAAAGAGTGTGTATGGAAGAGTGTGTATGTGGTATAGGTGTGTATGGAGAGTATGGTTTAGTATGGTTGTATGGAGTGTATAGTGGGTGTAAGTGTGAGTGTTTAAGAGTGTGTATGGAGTGGTATAGTCCTGTTTTAGAGTGGTTTGGACCTGGTTTAGTCCTGGTTTAGTGGTTTCTGGTTTTAGTCCTGGTTTTAGTGTGTAGTGGAGTGGTTTAGAGTCCTGGTTTTTAGAGTGGTTGGTCCTGGTTTTAGTGGTTATGGTGTGTTGGAGTCCTGGTTTAGAGTGGTGTTATGGAGTTTTTAGTCTGTGTTTAGATGTGTTTAGTGTTTTGGTGAGTGGTTTAGTCCTGGTTAGTCCTGGTTTTTTAGAGTGGTAGGTTAGTGTTTTAAGACCTGGTTTAGTTAGTCCTGTTTTAGTCCTGGTTTAGTTTTAGAGTTGTTAGTTATTTCCTGGTTTTAGTCCTGGTTTTAGACTTTGGTTTTAGTCCTGGTTTAGTCCTGGTTTTAGTCCTGGTTAGAATCCTGTTTTAGACCTGGTTTTAGTCCTGTTTTTAGTCCTGGTTTAGTCCTGTTTTGACCTGGTTTAGACCTGGTTTAGTCCTGTTTTGGTTTAGTCCTGGTTTTAGACCTGTTTTAGTCCTGGTTTAGACCTGGTTTTAGTCCTGGTTTAGATCCTGGTTTAAGTCCCTGGTTTTAGTCCTGGTTTTAGTCCTGTTTAGACCTGGTTTAAGTGGTTTAGTCCTGGTTTAGAGAGACCTGGTTTTAGTCCTGGTTTTAGTCCTGGTTTTAGTCCTGGTTTAGACCTGTTTTCCTGGTTTAGACCTGGTTGTAGTCCTGGTTTAGACCTGGTTTTAGTCCTGGTTTTTTAGTCCTGGTTTTAGTGGTTTTAGTCCTGGTTTAGTCCTGGTTTAGACCTCCTGGTTAGTCCTGGTTTATTGGTTTAGAAGTTGTTTTAGTTTAGTCCTGGTGAATGTTTAGCCTGAATTAGTCCTGAAATCAAAAACCTGTTTAATAGTGGTAACCAATTAATTCCAGCAATGAAATCAATGTAATCCATTAATTTCAACAAAGTAACTGTAATCCAATTACCACTCACTGAAACAGTAACTGTAACTGAACACAGTTACTCATCATTTGTACTCTGATTACGTAGCTCCAGTACATGTAATCTGTTACTCCCCAACACTGGATTTGGATATCGTTACATCCCTACTATTTAGTGCTTTTAACAACTCTCAGACCAGTGCAGTTTTGCTATAACAGTAGAATTAATCTAATTCTAACTAGTATGCTAACACATACTTCCTGATTAATGGACAGTAAACAAACAGCAGGCATATTTTGACCTCAGGGATACACATGTAGCTGCTTAGACAATATATACTGATATTTGTACTGGGGCATATTCAGTGTTGTGGAGTAACAGATTACATGTACATGAGTTACGTAATCAGAGTACAAATGATGAGTAACTGTATTCAGTTACAGTTACTGTTTCAGTGAGTGGTAATTGGATTACTGTTACTTTGTTGAAATAAAGGGATTATATGGTGGTATTTTCCTGATTTTTACATTTTGGGCTAAACCAGGACTTAAACCAGGACTAAACCAGGAATAAACCAGGATTAAACTAGAACTAAACCCGGACCTGAGCCAGAATTAAACTAGGACTAAACTAAAACTAAACCAGGACTAAAAACCAGAACTAAAATAGGACTAAACCAGGACTAAAACCAGAACTAAAATAGGACTAAACCAGGACTAAAAACCAGAACTAAAATAGGACTAAACCAGGACTAAAACCAGAACTAAAATAGGACTAAACTAGGACTAAACCAGAACTAAACTAGGACTAAACTAGGACTAAACCAGGTCTAAAACCAAAAATAAATTAGGACTAAACCAGGACTAACACCAGAACTAAACTAGGACTAAACCAGGACTAAAACCAGGACTAAACCAGGTCTAAAACCAAAAATAAATTAGGACTAAACCAGGAGTAACACCAGAACTAAACTAGGACTAAACTAGAACTAAACTAGGACTAAACCAGGATTAAAACCAGGACTAAACTAAAAAGCATGACAGTATCAAGTAATCCAAAGTATTCAGATTATGTTACTCACTTTAAGTAATTTAATGGATTACATTACAAACTACATTTTGGTGTGTGTAATCTGTAATCTGTAGGGGAATACATTTTAAAAATAACCTTCCCAATACTGGACATATTTTACTCAAATACATGGACAGGCCATTTTAGGTTTTTGTTACCTTTTGGATAGTTCTGAATCTGAACACATAAGAAGACTAGCTGTATCATTCATTCATTCATGCATTCATTTGAACAGCTCCTTGTGTCCTGCAGGTTTCTCGCTTTAGCCCATATGAGTGGACCCTGGAGGAGCCTGAAGATGGCGCTCTACCCCTCACCACAGAATCCACCAATGAGTTTGGCATCTTCAACTCACTGTGGTTCTCTCTGGGGGCCTTCATGCGCCAGGGCTGCGACATCTCACCCAGGTACGCAACAGGCCGCTCTCCTCACCGTATCTTCACCGCATTAAAGATACATGTGCAGGCAGATGAGGAGAGAGAGGAGCATAGGAGGAACATACAGGATGAATAATTGATCCAGAGTCCTCAAGGCTTCTCATGTGCAAGCAGGGTGTACGTGTAATGCACCAGAGCAGAGGAGCCCATGTCCCCTAGGCATCCTTGAGGGGAGAGGGCCACGAGCAACAGAGCGCTCGTCCCCATCTGAAGTCCTCCCTCAATGCACTAAGATGCCACACCATATTCTAAAGAACACATAGGATGCATTCTTGTGGCTTTAATTCCCTTTTAAAGATGCTTTTGGTCACGTTGGGATAAGTATTTCACATTTTCTAACTTTAAATCTCTTAAAGTCTCCATTTGGAAGATATACTTCAAATTTCTTTGTTTAAGCATTGGAGTTCCATCTAACTGTGTGTGTGTGTGTGTGTGTGTGTGTGTGTGTGTGTGTGTGTGTGTGTGTGTGTGTGCGTGCGTGCGTGCGTGCGTGCGTGTGTGCGTGTGTGTGTGGGTCTGTGTGGGTGTGTGTGGGTGTGTGTGTGGGTCAGTGTGTGTGTGTGTGGGTCTGTGTGGGTCAGTGTGGGTGTGTGTGAGTCTGTGTGGGTCTGTGTGGGTGTGTGTGAGTGTGTGTGGGTGTGTGTGGGTCTGTGTGGGTGTGTGTGTGGGTCAGTGTGTGTGTGTGTGGGTCTGTGTGTGTGTGTGTGTGTGTGTGTGTGTGTGTGGGTGTGTGTGGGGTCAGTGTGGGTCAGTGTGGGTCTGTGTGGGTCTGTGTGGGTGTGTGTGTGGTGTGTGTGGGTCTGTGTGGGTGTGTGTGTGTGTGTGGGTCTGTGTGGTGTGTGTGGGTCTGTGTGGGTCAGTGTGGGTCTGTGTGGGTGTGTGTGGGTCTGTGTGGGTCAGTGTGGGTCTGTGTGGGTCTGTTTGGGTCAGTGTGGGTCTGTGTGGGTGTGTGTGGGTCTGTGTGGGGGTGTGTGTGGGTGTGTGTGGGTCTGTGTGGGTCTGTTTGGGTCAGTGTGGGTCTGTGTGGGTGTGTGTGGGTCTGTGTGGGTCAGTGTGGGTCAGTGTGGGTCAGTGTGTGTGGTCTGTGTGGGTCTGTGTGGGCGAGTGTGTGGGTGTGTGTGGGTCTGTGTGGGTGTGTGTGGGTGTGTGTGGGTGTGTGTGGGTCAGTGTGGGTCAGTGTGGGTCAGTGTGGGTCTGTGTGGGTCTGTGTGGGCGAGTGTGTGGGTGTGTGTGGGTCTGTGTGAGTGTGTGTGGGTGTGTGTGGGTCAGTGTGGGTCAGTGTGGGTCAGTGTGGGTCAGTGTGGGCGAGTGTGTGGGTCTGTGTGGGTCTGTGTGGGTGTGTGTGGGTGTGTGTGGGTCAGTGTGGGTCAGTGTGGGTCAGTGTGGGTCTGTGTGGGTCTGTGTGGGATGTGTGGGTGTGTGTGGTCTGTGTGGTGTGTGTGGGTGTGTGTGGGTCTGTGTGGGTCTGTGTGGGCGAGTGTGTGGGTCTGTGGGGTCTGTGTGGGTCTGTGTGGGTCTGTGTGGGTGTGTGTGGTGTGTGTGGGTGTGTGTGGGTCAGTGTGGGTCAGTGTGGGTCTGTGTGGGTCTGTGTGGGCGAGTGTGTGGGTCTGTGTGGGTCTGTGTGGGTCTGTGTGGGTGTGTGTGGGTGTGTGTGGGTCAGTGTGGGTCTGTGTGGGTCTGTGTGGGCGAGTGTGTGGGTGTGTGTGGGTCTGTGTGGGTGTGTGTGGGTGTGTGTGGGTCTGTGTGGGTCTGTGTGGAGCAGGTCTGTGTGGAGCCAGTCTGTCTCCCTCCAACACAGTTGTGTTTCCTAAACAGAACTCATGTTTATTCATAAGTAAAATCAAAATCACATTTCAATTATATTCATAATCATTAGACTGACTGCACCTTTACCCCATGTTTTAATTGTTGTAATGCCCTGGGTTTGGCTCAAGTTAGATGATAAATAGGAAATAGCAGAAGTTGCCATAGCTGGAAATATAGCGTTTTTTTCACAAGGTCAAGTCAGCTTTTGGTGAGAAATGATTATGTTCATATCTGCTTTTTATTGTCTTGAGGCTGTGTTCTCTCTGGACATCTTGTTTCTTGTGTAGCCATGTTAGCTGTATCATGCTGAGCCCTTGCTGGCCACACTGGCCTCATTTGGGAGTTGTTTCTGTACGTCCAGAGTCCACCTTGGACTCCTCAAATAGAGCGGTATGGTTTGCTTTAGAGAGTATTTTACGCCTATACTGATTTGCTCCAAAGCAAACGAGTGGAAATGAGGCTTATAATAATAGAGTCATGTGTTTGTTGTGAACACAGTTGACCACAGAATAAGTTCAGTGACTGTGCAGGGGCTTAAAAACTCCCTAGGAGAAGTCCAGAGTTTTATCTGTGATGCAAAAATCCATGCAAAATGACAACAGCATTTTTGAAAAATGCTCATGAAATCCTGTCTCCTCATGTAGTGTGACATCCAATAGTCTTTTAAACCAAACATGCAGTATACAGCAGGTCCCACATAGACACACATGCTTCTCTGTGTCCCCCCTGCAGGTCTCTGTCAGGGCGCATTGTGGGCGGAGTCTGGTGGTTCTTCACACTCATCATCATTTCATCGTACACGGCTAACCTGGCAGCCTTCCTCACTGTAGAGAGGATGGTGTCACCCATCGAGAGCGCAGAAGACCTGGCCAAGCAGACAGAGATCGCCTATGGAACACTGGACTCAGGATCCACCAAAGAGTTCTTCAGGGTCAGTAAAATGGGCCTAATATAAAGTGTATTCAAGGGAAGCTGAGAAGTTATTCTATCCCTGCCAAGTTATGAAAAAAGCTTCCAATTAGTAATAATTAATAAGTCATTTATAAATAACATTTCTAAGATGTGCTCCTGGTGCTCAAAGGGTGAACAGCACCAGGTTTCTCAGAGAGATACCACAGTAAACAAACATTGCCTTTTGATACAGTATTAAGTTGCTATAGATAATAATATCATATGTTTCAGCTCAGTAGTCCCCCCCCCCTCCCCCGCGTGACTCAGTTCATTTGAATAATGACAAGTTGTGATGTAAATTTTTGTTCTTATGTTTGTGTATATTTATGGAGAATGTCATGTGGGAGCATGGGGGACATAGACTTGTGGAGCATTGGACAGAATTATTTTGTTAACTGTAAAGAGGGTTTGAATAGGGCACATGCATGGGTCATGTATAAAACCTCTTCACACATGGTTTTGATGAGAGAACAATGCGACAACATGGAAACAGAAAGGTCCAAAACGTTGATTTTACCCCATCTTTGAAAGGATGGTCCTACAGAATGTGATATAAGTTGTAATGCTGTTCTGCTCACAGCGCTCGAAGATCGCCCTGTTTGATAAGATGTGGCAGTACATGAAGTCTGCAGAGCCCTCTGTGTTTGTGAAGAAGACTTCAGAGGGCGTGCAGCGTGTGAGGAAGTCCAAAGGGAAGTACGCCTACCTGCTGGAGTCCACCATGAACGAGTACATCGAGCAGAGGAAGCCTTGTGACACCATGAAAGTGGGCGGCAACCTGGACTCCAAAGGCTACGGCATCGCCACGCCCAAGGCATCGCCATTAAGGTGGGTGGATCAGTATAACAATGCTAGCCAGCCCAAAGCCATGTACCATTCACTTAGGCAAGCTGCTGCAGAGCATACTGCCCCTCTCCTTATTCCAAATCAAAGAAAGCTTATTCAAGAGTAATGCAGGCCCATTGGCCACATAGAGGTGGTGAGGGCCAGAGTGTGCACTCTGGACAAGCTACCCAAGAAGGAGAGCCCTTCTGGGGCACAGGACGGGCAGTATGTCAGTGGCTGAATGGGGCATGGCCGCTAAAGTGGTTGTTATAATTATCCACCTACCCTGATGACCTCTTGTGGTTTGTATGGTCCATGGTGACCTCCTCTGACCCAGGTGAGAGGCGGCTACTCCGACCAACTCTCTAACACTTTGAGTTCAATGTAAAACTGACAAAGACAAGTCATTATAGCAACCCATACCTCTTTAATTGACTAGGATAGAACAGGCCCTTCCAAACTCTCTAACCTCACACACAGTGAACACTGTGCTTGACTTTCTCAGTTTTACTTAATATGAACTGAACGTGAACATGTTTTCTGGTTATGTTCACATCAGGCCTTTGGCTAGTATCCCAATAGAACAAGCTACATCATCAGATCACCGTCTGAGCTAAGCAGAGGGTGGGTCTGACCACCTGATCTGTGCTAATACAATTGTCATAGCCCAGAGTGTGCATAAGCAATGTCACCAAGCCCGCAGTGAACAGGGCCCAGTGTGAACAAGGCCTGGTGTGATTCAGATGTGTTCTTCTTCAGTGATGAGCCAGTCAGATTACAGAGCTCTCTGAACCTCCTGTACACTTCAGTCATGGGCTCCAGCTACAACAAAGTCTACTGCATCCCTCCACTGAGGACTGCAGACTGCCGTGCGTTGACTTGAAGTAGTCTTATGGCAGACCCTTATTCTGCGCAGCCCCACAGCTGCTGCTGTGGAGCCCTTGTAAACTGAGGCTACACTCTTCAGCACATGTGTAGCCCTTCAGTCATACATCTGTTTTTTCCTATGTGCTTCCTCATGTGACCATCGAAGCACAGCTCAGACAGTCTCAGATCTGCCTTAATCAGGGGTCTGCAACCTTTGGCTTCCAAAACTTCACAATTCAAATAACAGAATAAAATATATTACCTGCCCACAGCACACAGTCTACTTCGTGGTTCCTCTGTGCATGTAACTGCCTGGAGGCTAAAATATAAGAGTCACACATGAAGGTTGCAGACGTCTGGTCTGTGCAGATGACAGGCTTAGTCAGATGCTGTTTGATGTTCAGTGCAGCTTCACTTTTTCTGCTGAACCTTGTTTATATCTGCTCATGTCTTTTCTCTCATGTCTAACACCTTGTTCTCATTTCTTCTGTGTGGGTGTGGGGGCCTCAACATGGGCAGGGTGAGTGTGCTTCCTAATCATGGTCGGGATCATACGGTGTTTTACTTAATATACTTCAATATTATTCCTCACGGTGAGGCCAGGTAATCTTCATAACTTTATTCTCTGGTGGAAGGTGAGGTCCGGTGGTGGGTGGGATCTGCTGATGTTTGGGTTCTGACATTGTTCTCTCTAAGAGTGGTCAGGTGATGACGGACCGATGATGGGCGGGGTCTGTCAGTGGGAGGCGGGGTCTGTCAGTGGGAGGTGGGGTCTGACAGTAGGAGGAGTCTGGCGGGTGTAGAGTCTGTCAGTGGGAGGAGTCTTTTTGGGGCAGGGTCTGTCAGTGGGTGGAGTCTGTGGGTGTGCGGGTGTCGTAGGGTGTGTCCTCTCTTTGCAGGTCCTGCTTGCGTGCCTCCTGGCTAAGCCCTGGCCTCTAACAGCCCCTGTGTTCATGTAGAAATGCGGTGAACCTGGCGGTGTTAAAGTTGAACGAACAGGGGCTTCTGGACAAACTGAAAAACAAGTGGTGGTATGACAAGGGCGAGTGCGGCAGCGGAGGAGGGGAGAGCAAGGCAAGCACACACACGCACATGCGCTGTGCACAGGGAGCAGCACACAGCCACACGCTCACTGGTTCTATTCCCACAAGAGCCTCCCATGAGCCAGCCATGGGGCGAGCATGGCCAGTGCTGCTCTCTAGACCCTGTATGGTGGAGCTTCCTGTTTGGTTGAGGTCAGGGTTCAGGTGCAGGGGTCATGTCAGGGTCAGGTGACCTCACACCAGATGGCAGCACCCCCTGTAGGCGATGCTGTGAATGAAGAGTTTGTGCGAAAGCCAAACTCATTCATTCAGGGCTCCCTCATGATATTTCAGCTGCCAATGAATCTGCAGGTATCGAGTAGCACTTCTCATTCTCTTGTAGGACAACTTTTATCAACTGAAAGTCCAAATGAACATCAACCAATATAATTTTCACAAACAACTATATGAGCTGGCCATTTCGTATAAATTCACAGAGAATTAGAAGTGCTCCCTTCACTAATAACATAAGATAACATTGATAACGATGTTATTTATGTTATTCCTATTAAAGAGTGCCAGTAAACCTTGCCGTATTGAAACTGAATGAGCAAGGAACCCTAGACAAGATGAAAAACAAGTGGTGGTACGATAAAGGCGAGTGTGGCTTCAAGGACTCCACTAATAAGGTTAGTTTAATGTCTGTACAGTCTGAACACACATAACCCAGGCATAGACCACAGATACTGTAGGAGCACATGTCTGTCTGTGTCCATGTGTGTCCTGTGCCCATGTGCAATACACCTCGTAGACACCAGGTTAGATTCTCACACTACTGACTCATGTTACAACATTTCATCGTAAAAATTGCTGGAGTTTTGAATAGTTTACTTTGTGCAAGTCCAGTAATCCAGCACATACTGTTTCTTCCTCTCAAATCACTTGCACTGTGCCTTTAAAGAAGACATGTTATGCTTATTTCTGATGCTTACTTATAAACTTTAACATTATGTAGACTGTAATTTTACTTTCCGCTCATTATAAACAACAGTACTGATTTACAATGACTTAATAATAGAAGTGGGACCACTGACATCCCTTTGAAACTCCAGAACGACGCTGACGCTGTTCTATACAGGGATATGGTAATTCAATTCAATACATGGATGTATGTAAGTATGACTTCCACTCAACAACAGAAGAAGTAGTGGTTGTGGAAGAAGTAGTGGTTGTGGTAGTAGCTGTAGTAGTAGAATTAGTATTAGTATTTTTAGCAGTAGTAGTAGTAGTCAAATAGTCAGATTTACTGGTTGCACCTTAGGAGTCAGAGAAGTATTTTCACAGTCTGTTTGGTGTTCTCTGTGTGTAGTCCTACTGGTGTATGTAAGTGTTTGTGGGGAGTATCGTCTCTTTAAATCTCTTCTCCTTGGCCTGGTTGAGTGGACTGACTGGTTGCTGTGCCTGCAGGAGAAGACCAGCGCCCTGTCCCTCAGTAACGTGGCAGGGGTCTTCTACATCCTGGTGGGGGGACTAGGGCTGGCCATGATGGTGGCTCTGGTGGAGTTCTGTTACAAAAGTCGTGCAGAGGCCAAGAAAATGAAAGTATGTTCCTCACTTCATCACCCATCTTGATAATCAACACACCCATGACATCTGCTACTGGCTTTACCCATCCACATTCATTCTGAGCAGAGTATTAGGCTCAGAGCTCACACAGGCACATACTAGTGTAGTGGTGTGTCTTAAAAATTTAGGAGAATCTCTGGTAGAGGGCCATAAACAGGACCATGAACGCTTGTATTCATCATAGGCTTCTGAAAATGTGCTGTTTAAATCCATTTTGTATTTTCAAACCATCTTAAACTCTTACTCTTTGCAAATGTGTGTGCTATTGTATCACATGTGCAACATCCCCAGTGTGATGTCACTGCAAAGTATCACTTATCTCTTATCCTGGCTGTAAAACCACAGCCTCTGGGTCCTGGAGCTGCGCTCTGAGGCCCTACTTTCCGATGCCTGCCCTCTAAAGCAAACTTTTTCCATTCACATCTCTGTCATACGTCTTCCACAAGTCCAGTGTTCAGAAGATCTGCTCCTCAGAACCCACAGAGAGGGGCTGTGCCTCCATCTGCTGCCTTCACTCCGTACATCTAACCATCACGTCACTTATACCATGGTCACCTGCGGCCAGAGAACCAGTGATACCATCAGCAAACATAGTAACATTTATTTGCCTGGATATGACTATTACCAAATGATTTAGCATCCTGTTAGCTAGATTTAACTACTTACTAGTATCTGGTATCCATAACACCCAGAGCTGAGGATGCACTGATTTGTTTGGTCTGAAGACCCACCTCCTCCGAGCTCCTCGTGGACCATGGTATAAGTACAGGACATGAGCCATGCATCATTGCTCTGCTCTGGGAGACTGACGTGGTCTTTATTTCTTCATGAAGGTTGTAGCCAACACTCTGACGTCCCCCCAGCACACAGGGAACTACACACACCCCATGTCCTCTCCTCCTCCTCCTCAGCACGCTCCCAACTACAGCCTGGTGTCCCCCAGCCACCTGCCCACCTACACCACCTATAAGGAGGGCTACAACGTGTACGCCATTGACAGTGTGAAGATCTAAGCGGGTAGGACTGTGGCGATGGATGGCCTACCTCCTCTGCTCACTCATAAGCACCATGAAGTTTCATCAGGGAGTAGGCCTGGAGCAGGAGGGAAGGGATTACTGCAGTACAGATAAAGATGGATAATCTACCTGGGTTAAAGAATTAAGAACACAGCTAATGGCAAAATTTTGATTTATTTTGTTCATTTGGCCTAAAATTGTTTTACCTTTCTCAACGCATTTCTGCTTCTTTGAATTAATAAAAGTGTTGAGAGTTTAGTTTAAAATAAATTCAACAGTAATAGGTATTTCTTCATTACTTTTTCTTCTTTATTTCTTTCTTCTTTATTTCATGTTTACCAGGGCTGTCCACACAAAAGTAGTGTAGAGATCCTGAGAGTGATGCTGCCCCTGTGTGTGATACATGGTCATCACCTCCACTCAACTCACCCAACCACCCACCCTCCAACCAATAATCCACCCACAACCCCGATTCAACTACCCACCTTCCTACGCCACAACAACGTACCCTCCCATCATCTAGCTTCCTTCCAACCAACTACCCAACAGCCCACCCTTCAGCAATCCAACCACCATCCCTCAAACCAATCATCCTCCTACCCCCTCTCTGCTCAGATAGAATCTGGCAGGCATTTAGGGCCGAGTACAATGATGTTTTTCATGGTTAAGAAATAGATTAGGGTGATCCAGGTGTTTTATATCCTTAACACAGGCACTTGTAAATGTAAATTTTGGTCAGTCGTATCTGGTTTCATGGATAATTTCAGCTGCGTGTATCAGTCATGTTTCTGATGAGGCTACCATAAGTCCCAAACCCTGCAACACACTGTAGTTAGAACACATGAGAAGCTCTGGTTTACTTGAACAAACTTGTTCCTATCCAATAATTAGAATTATTGTTCTTGACACTGACTGGGCCTTTGCATATTGGAACTGAATCAGAGTCTGATATTCAGGTCAACCCTGTTGGTCACTGGAAACAACTGCAGAAACTGCTTGTGTATGATGCAACTCTTCCTTCTTAGATATAACTGGGCCTGTGATTAGGTCTAAACACGGTCTAAATCAGGTCTAAACCAAGGCTAAACCTGTTAGTGGCGAGTGGATGGGTCTACTATGAACTGGACACTATACCTGCATCTGTGACCAGTTCATCAAAGTTTCTGATGTAATTAGATGTAACATTTGATCATGTGTAGGTACAATAAATGAAATACAGTTCAATGAAAGCAGTATGTCGGACTGTCCACCATCACTTTCACTAGTACATTAATAACGCATTCCATTTGACAGCCCCTGCCCCGTCCATCCTCACCCCTCACATGTGTGTGTGGAGCAGGTTCTTGCGCTGTAACCTTCTCTTGTCTGTTGCAGATGAAGTTTACCGATGCCATGCGCTCCAAAGCTCGCCTATCCATCACGGGCTCCACCGGTGAGAACGGCCGCGTCCCTGTGTCCTACCTGCGGCCTGGATTACCCATGAGCCTCAGCATGACGCACCTGTCCTGACCCCGCCCCGTGCAGTGCCTTATGCCCCGCCCCTTCTCCACAGACACGCTCCATTGAAACCACACCCCTCCTGGATATCATCGACCCAATCAAGCACAGGACGCCTTTTCTACGGCGGACCACAAGGACATGTCCTTGGACCGCTCTTGTACAGAATAGAAGACACTCCCCAGGTGTTGATGCAATAACTCTGTGTGTCAGGGACCACTGCACAGGACGCACCCAGAGGCTTCAGACCTCCACAGACTCTTCCACATGACATCATCATTTGTTATTATATCATTTCATCGTTCTTTTCCTTCTTTCTGCCTGAAATGCAGTAGTAGTAGAGTTTTTTCTTTTGTTTGTTTGTTTGTTTGTTTCATTCAGAGATGCAGAGACTAAGTATGCAACCATAATTACATACTGAAGAAACTGTTGGTTGCACTTGACTGTGTCTGGATAATTTAATATTTATACAAGTTCATCAAATGGAGTTGATATCGTTTACAGATAACAGAGATGATGGCCGTTTGGTGACAGGAGTAGAAGCAGTTTGGGACATACTGCACAGGGCTGATTGGGATAAGCCAAGTAACCATGATGCAACGCTTGCTAAATTTTTGCAAATATCTCCTTAAAATATTTAGTTGTTTTGAAATGTCTGTAGGGAGATTTCCTGTGCTGATAACAGAGGTTTTCACTTTTGTGTATTTTCTTTGACCATAACTTTGTACTTCTACTTGAGTAATATTATTTTGAAGTAGTGTTACTCTTATTTTAGTACAATGTTTGGTTACTCTACCCACCTCTCCCACCACGCCTTTTGATTGTCAAAAATCTGATGTGTTGACCTGGTTTATGTTTCATATCTCTGTAATTACTGGGCCTATCCACATGAAACAAAAACTGGCACAAAGTTCTTCTTCTCTTCTCAGTCAGCACAAATGAACAAAGCTGTACTTTTTTATTTATTTTCACTCCAGCGGTACAAAGATGGTGAAACCTGCCCTCCTTTTGTAATCTCACCAAATTGTACAACCTGAACACAACCAGTGGAGGGCAGGAGGGAGTCTTGCTTGTCCCCTCGTTTCATCCAAACGCTCCTTTGCACACACACACAAGCTGAGCCGAGCCGTGCCCGTCTGTCACAGCTCCATTCAAATACTGTGAATATTCATGTCTATAGACAAGGAGCCAGACCAGTGCCAACCTGCTCACTGGGCTCGAGGACTTTCTTATTGATTCAGACCAGTGCTTCTCAAAATGTGCTGTGCATACCAGGTGATACTTAAGTCTTTTAAAGAGGGATATTTTACTTCTGTGGGGTATTATTTGCTAACACATGACATATTTAGATCACCATGTTACCTTATATTCTTTTGAAAATACTCTATTCGCTGAAAACAATATATTTAAATGTTTAATTATTTTCATTATTATTATTTATTTACTTTTTTATTTATTTTTATTTTTTTGGCCCCCTCGGTTTGTGCCCCATGCTCCCATTCATTCTCTTCCCTTCAGAACAATCAGCCTGCATTATGCTGAAGATACTACTGCACATCGCATCAGGATTGTGAAGTTATAGTGTTTTGTTTTGTATGCTGCTCTTTTTTTTGTATCCATGCCAAAGCCATAAGCTTTGGATAGGATCATTCTGCTCAAACTGCATGTGCTGCAGCTCTGGTCCAAAGGCCGCAAGTATAATTGGAAGTAGTAAGAGAAACTCCCAGCACAGAGTGTAGTCTGAGTGAGGTGTAAGGAGGTTTTGGATAGAGCCCAGGAGAGATCACTAGATTACTTAAACACGCATTGATGACACCTAAAACCTCTTCAGGCATGTTTTTTTGATGAGGGAACAATATGGTAGAAAGCTCCAAAAAGTAGATTTTTACACAATTCTCTCTTTTTAAAATTTCCATCTTTTATTTGATCCGTGTTTATTTTTAATTTTAGTTCAGGTTTAGTTCACTGATGATTCCTGTTCAACCCTTATGTCTTTTGGCGTTTTCCAAATAGAGCTTATTAATGAGTGTTTTCACTGGACACAATCTTGTTTTATTGAACGTACAAAGAAAAGGAAATAATTAAATGACTAAAAATACTGTTGAATACTTATCTACTGAATTTAAAAGAAAAAAAAAGTATATAAATATACCCAACACCCAAAGTTTGGGTGTTGGTTGTATAGATTAAAAGGAACTTTTTAAGATCAAGAAACTGCATTTTGTAACCTTGAAACTAGAACATTTGAGAATCATTGGTGTCATTCTTTTTTGGATAAATATAAGGTGATAGTTTGTCAGAGGTTTGTATATGATGCTGCAGATATAGCAGCAGCATATGCTAAATGACCATCATTGTAATATGATTATGAATATGATTTTAGACACTGTAGTAACATGGCGTTCTCATATAGATTTGTAAGTTGCATAAGAGACTTTATGGGGACATTTTGGGGACTCTGGTATAGTGGCCGCATCCATATGCCCAGGACAAAGAGGCTTTGTTTTTTTTTTTTCTCCAATCAATACTTTAAACATGAAATAATGTCTTTTTAAATGGTGCCAATGTATTACAGATTTTTATATACAGTATATTTACTTATCATGCTTAATGCCATGTGAAATTTAAAGTTATCAAAGAGAAAAATGTACGAGTGTGGACTAATATGAAGCTTCAGACTGTGTGCCAAACTTTACTCACACATTACCAGAGAGACAGAAAGACATGAGCCACTCTGCCACATCATGTCAGCAGAGAGCCGCTCAGAGGCAGGCTGTGAGCCGCTCAGAGGCAGGCTGTGAGCCGCTCAGAGGCGGGCTGTGAGCCGCTCAGAGACAGGAGACAGACTGAGTGCCCATACAGATTTCTAGAGTGTTTTGTGACTTTTGATAATAACTCCGTGCTCTCTTTATACTATGGTGTTTGACATGTTCTCACAGCCGTGGTTAAAGATGGCCCCTGAATATGCATGTGTTGAGTTCTCACAGCTGTTGGCAGCCTCTTCCACTCTGTAACTTGTCCATGTATTTGAGTTTCCTCAGACGGGCACAAGCTGCAGTGCCCCCTATCAACATGAGTGTGAATAAATGTGAGAATGGACTGTGGCCTCTTTTCTCAGAGTACTGGTACACCAGAGTGTGTTCATCCACGCCGCCATGAGGGCAAATACTTAACTGCTGCACAAACAAGAACTTTCTCATTATAAGTGACCTATAGATACAGCTGATGTCATCCCCGGGGGTGTGTGGATAGTTGCAGGCACTTAACTGCTGAACAGAAGTTAAGTGCCTGCAACTATCCCATGTGGTGTTATAACATGTGGTGTTATAACAAAAATAAGTAGTAACAGTTTATGCTAGCTCTGTTTAACAGCAGTTTAATAGTTCAGGTCAGTGGTCTCAGCCCTAGCTGTGTTCTGGAATGAACTGATTCTCTAGAACTTTCCAGGAGTGCCATGCACACAGCCTGGTACTGATGTGAACATTTGACCCTCTTATTTAACTAAACAGCAAAATAAAAACATTCTAGATTGTGCAGACAAATGATTCATTACAGCCAATATGTAACTTCCAGCTTCAGTTTCACGTGTTTTGCAGGTTTGTGGAGTGTTATGAACTACAACTAATATTTTCACCATGAAACTGTTGTTCTCTGTAAATTTGGGGCATATTTGTCCATGACATCAGATTTTCAGAAATGTTTGTTACGTGGTTGTAGTGTATACGATCATTTTGACACTAACTGCTACAGTCTTCTAGCAAGGCCCTGGTGTGACTCGCGTGTCGAGCTGTAGTCCGTTGTCTGAACAGTCCTGGTTTTTCAGGTTGTGATGTTTGGAGATTAACACTAACCCTCCCATTAAAAGGTTACATGCTGCTATTTCAACATGCTGCTATTTAGACATTGTCAGGGTAGTGGCATAAACATTATTTTTAAAGTGTCTCACTACTTCGATTTATTTAATTACCTCCGCCAAGGAGGTTATGTTTTTGCCGGCGTTTGTCTGTTTGTTTGTTTGTCAGTTTGTTTGTTTGTTGTCTGTTAGCAACATAACTCAAAAAGTTATGGACCGATTTTGATGAAATTTTCAGGATTTGTTGGAAATGTGAAAAGGAAGAACTGATTTCATTTTGGGGGTGATCCGGAAGAAATCCTGGATTCTGGATCACTTTGAAATTTTAGTTAACATTGTGGTAAATGGGGCCAAAAATTTTGTTTCTCAATATCTCGGTTAATTATTGACCAAACCCCATGAAATTTGACTCAGGGATGGACAATGGAATCCTCTTTCATATTCCAAAGGCTGATCCGGATCTGATCCAGAAGACTGATTTGATCACAATTTATATAAAAAATGGGGGTAGTCCTTGGCGGAGGTCTGCGCTCTCTGAGTGCTTTTCTAGTTTAATTATTTAATTGTTGGAGTAGCAGCACTTTACTATTTTTCATACATACATACATACATTCCGCTTTTCCAACATGGATAATATGAATGTGATATCCTATTATACTTTGCGCTCTCATATATCATAAGATGCTTGCATGGGTGCAAAGCACTTGATCAGAGAATACTTTGGCCACATAGGATATCAGACGTAAAATATGACATGTTGGAACAGCGATACCAAAAAGTGTCAGGAAACCGGCATGTCTAAATGAGAGGCATGTCGTAATACTGGGGTGTCTAAATAGAGGGATGTCATAATGAAGGGATGTCAGAATAGGCTGTGGACACCCATTATTAAAAATACACTGAAGCTAATGCATGGAACAGTACCAACCTTCAGAATCCCTACGTTCTAACAGTGGCAGGGTCTATAATGTCCTGCTGAATAGCAGACTTATACCAACTCATAGTGCACACACCACACACACTTGAGTTGTTCATTTGTTTTAATGAAGCACACAAAATACTGACACATGATTATTGTGTAAAAGCCACAGACAGTATGTGGTACAGGCCCTCTGAGGGAGCACACTCCATCCATTTGATCAGGTCTTCATGTTCAGCAGAGTGGTACAGATGAAGGCACCATTTCATTTAAGGTGTACTGTTGTCAATAAATACTTTGACTTTAGACTGTTTATTATTTTTGACAAAATGAAATATAAAAGCAACTTTACAGAAAATATAATCTAAATTTGTTCTTCCAACATCAGCAGTTTCTCTAACCTGCAACAGAAACAGAGAGATATATTAGGCTGCCTTTCAGCGTGAGACAGATCACTTCACTTTGGCTCCAGTACTTTAGCTACTGTAGCGCTCAGAGCAGGGCACATTTCTTGCCCTTGGCACGGGCTGGTGGTGGGCACAGCACGGCACGGATGGCCTCGTCAAACACTGTCTTCAGACCACGCTGTGTCAGAGCCGAACACTCCAGGTACTTCACGGCGTCTGCAGCAGACAGTCACACAAATAAACATACACACAAACACACAAATAAACAAACACACAAGGAAACAGGAAAGTTAGTATATGCCAGTGCTTCTCAATTATTTTCTGTCATGCCCCCCCTAGGAAGAATAAAACATCTCACACCCCCCCGCATGACTATAAATAGTATCATTTGCGGGATGATTGTCGGCAATATTCGGCACGTTTTCGCTGAAAAAACTCAAGCGGCTTATCAGAGTGATCGGGGTGTAATGTATTTAAGTGACGCCTTAATTTATTGGGCTTCATGCTGTCCGCTGCCAACATTTTTAGACACAGTAACACACCGGTCTTTCCTCGTCTCCCACTGTAGTCACAGTGAAGCCAAGCGCTACATACGCTTCGTCATATTTCCTCGTCTTAGCTTTCGGGAGATTTTCGTTTGTCTCTTTATCTCCGTCTCTCTCCGCCTGTCTTCTCATCCCTGTTAAATATTTTTTCATGGTGTCACTTGAGGGTCTGCTACACTTCGTGTCTACACTTCATACTCAAACTCTGTGCTGTGTGCAAAGCGCGCATGCTCAGTGCAAACAAAACTCCTACACCACCGAGCGAATGCTCCCTGCGCCATGTCCCTGCGCACACTCTTCCAATGAGAGCGCCACTGCCCCCTAATGTAGTGGAAGTGCAATTGCACTTTATTCTAGGACAGTAAAAAAAAATCTAAATAAAAAAATAAAAAAGCATGTTCCCCGAGGTCAAACGCGCCCCCCTTGACGGAGCCTCGCGCCCGCCCAGGGGGGCGCGCCCCACTATTTGAGAAGCACTGGTATATGCAGAGCAACAAGAATTTGTTAAAACTCAGGCTTTGAACCAGACAAAGCAGGTGTCCTTGGATTGGACAGATGCAGAGGAGGGACAGTGTCCTCACTGGACAGATGCAGAGGAGGGACAGTGTCCTCACTGGACAGATGCAGAGGAGGGACAGTGTCCTCAGAGTAGACAGGTGCATAGGAGGGACAGTGTCCTCAGTGGACAGATGCAGAGGAGGGACAGTGTCCTCAGAGTAGACAGGTGCATAGGAGGGACAGTGTCCTCAGTGGACAGGGCAGCAGGCTGTAGACTGGACTCACCAATCTCCTTGGCCAGAGCCAGGCCCTGGGGGTAGGTGATAGGGGCCAGCTTCTTCTCCTTGAGCTTCTCGATGGTCTCCTTCTCATCCCTTAAATCCAACTTGGTGCCCACCAGGATAATGGGTGTGGAGGGGCAGTGGTGCCGCACCTCTGGGTACCACTAACACACAACAGAACCGAGTTATGTCACACTCTGCTCTGGGCACATGTTCAAGTGTGTGGACACATGTTCAGGTGTGTGGACACATGTTCGGGTGTGTGGACACATGTTCGGGTGTGTGGACACATGTTCGGGTGTGTGGACACATGTTCGGGTGTGTGGACACATGTTCGGGTGTGTGGATACACGTTCGGGTGTGTGGACACACGTTCAAGTGTGTGGACACACGTTCGGGTGTGTGGACACACGTTCAAGTGTGTGGACACACGTTCGGGTGTGTGGACACATGTTCGGGTGTGTGGATACACGTTCGGGTGTGTGGACACACGTTCAAGTGTGTGGACACACGTTCGGGTGTGTGGACACACGTTCGGGTGTGTGGACAGACATACCTTGGCTCTGACGTTCTCGTAGGAGGCGGGGCTCACCAGGGAGAAGCAGATGAGGAACACGTCCTGCGGAGAACAGATGGGTCAGTCACAGAGACGCTGCAGTGAGTGTGAGGTTACTGCCTGTGCGCAGGGACAGGGGGCGGGGCCTGTGGGAGTCAGGAAGACAGGGGGCGGGGCCTGTGGGTGTGGTTACTGTCTGTGCGCAGGGACAGGGGGCGGAGCCTGTGGGAGTCAGGAAGACAGGGGGCGGGGCCTGTAGGTGTGGTTACTGTCTGTGCGCAGGGACAGGGGGCGGGGCCTGTGGGTGTGGTTATCGTCTGTGGGTAAGACAGGGGGCGGAGCCTGTGGGTGTGGTTACCGTCTGTGGGTATGACAGGGGGCGGAGCCTGTCGTAGTCCTCCTGTCCTGCTGTATCCCAAAGACCCAGGTTCACGGGTTTGCTGTCCACCATCACATTGGCAGAGTAGTTATCGAACCTGGACGAGATCACAGTGACACAGTCAGTCTCTCCATGAAATCACAGGACAAAATGGATTCTTAGGGTGAGAGCAGCAGCCAGTAAATGCACTGTGGACATTTTTAGGAGTTGTTCCGGCATGAGAAAAATAGTAGCAGCTGTGTTTTGTTTTAGTCAGGCATGTTTAAAGTTTATAGAGGATATTTCTCAATGACATAATCATGTTTAAACCAAATGATACTTTAGTGATAAGTGTGATTGTGATGTGCTCATGATGTCGCTCTATTTATCTTTAAGTGTTGAGACAATAAACTAAGTGAGGACTCGAATGAACGAAAACCAGACCAATGAGGAAGTGCTCTAAATGCAGTCTGCTCGTATTTATAAAACTGTTTAAGGAAGTAGACCATTATGTCGTTCATTTGACCTATTTCTAAACAGAACCTATGCTTTCTGCCACCTGCACTTCTCCATCTAAAGTAGTCCTGACCAAGACTAGCACCCAGCTCACAGAGACGGGTCCCCAGGCTCCCACTGCGCCTGATGGGGTGCCCAGGTGACACTGAAGGATGACAAATTTTCCTATGGGGACAATAAAGTGTACCTTAACCTTAATTCTGAGAAGTTTCCAGGCCAGCCAAAACACATAGTCCCTCCACAGTGTATTTAGATTCTCTGATAAGTACAGATCATGTCAGCAGAAAACAGGCTCTTTCATCCCTCATTTATCAGTCTGCGCCAGGGCAGCTGTGGCTACAATAGCACTTACCATCACTGAGTGTGGAATGAATAAATAATGACCACAGTGAAGATGTTAGAGAGGCTAAGTATAGGTTCGGTGTGACGGAGAATGCAGAGGAGAGGGTTAGAGGAGCAGAAGAGCAGAGAAGAGGGTCACAGGCCTGAGAAGAGGGTCAGAGGAGAAAAGGAGAGGGTCAGAGGGCAGGGAAGGGGGTCAGAGGAACAGAAAATCTGGAGGAGAGGGTCAAAGAAACAGAGGAGAAGGTCCAAGGGCAGAGAAGAGGGTCACAGAATGCGGTGAAAGGGTCAGAGTACGCAGGAGAGGTTCAAAGGAGCAGGGTCAGAGGGGGAGAGGAGAGGGACAGAGGAGAGGTTCAGAGGAGCAGAGGTCCAGAGGAGAGGTTCAGAGGTGCATAGGTTCAGAGGAGAGAGTGACAGGAGCAGAGGTTCAGAGGAGAGAATGACAGGAGCAGAGATTCAGAGGAGCAGAGGTTCAGAGGAGCAGAGGTTCAGAGGAGAGAGTGAGAGGAGCAGAGGTTCAGAGGAGCAGAGGTTCAGAGGAGAGAGTGAGAGGAGCAGAGGTTCAGAGGAGAGAGTGAGAGGAGCAGAGGTTCAGAGGAGAGAGTGAGAGGAGCAGAGGTTCAGAGGAGCAGAGGTTCAGAGGAGAGAGTGAGAGGAGCATAGAGACTCACACGGTGGGGATGTACTCTCCAGGGAAGGCGTTGGTGGTGTAGCTGATGAGGAGGCAGGTCTTACCCACAGCTCTGGAACACAAAAAACACAACTTCCATGTGTCTTATTTATTTTTCAAAATAAATGGATCATTCCTGTAAAATAACTTGATTTAGTCCTGACTCTGAGTCGTGTTACACAAATAACTTCAGCTTTATCAGGACAAAGGTCTGAGCCATAAGAGCTTGCACAGGAAGTGACATCACTGATGTCCATGTGACCGCAGCACCACAGTGAGAGGAAGAGCTGCTTCTCTTCTATACTTTTGTTACATCTTGTGGTGATTTTAAAGAGAGACAGGACTTTGTTTGGAATGTTCCACAGTTTAGTGTTAAACTCACTTATCTCCATGGAGATGTGGGTGATGCTATCAGTGTATTTTTATCACTATATTTATTTTTATATATATATATATATATATATATATATATATATATATATATATAATATATATATACTATATCTTTTATTTTTTTTTTTAAATTTATTTATTTTTTGTTACAATAAAACTGCAATTGAATACATGCAGTTGTGATACGTGTAATGCCATACTGTGGAATATTCCAGGGTAAAGCAATACAATCTTTATAGGGAAGCAGGTGGTGAATCTTTAATGACTCAACTCTTCATATGATCAAAATGTATTATGTACAATATATAGATAAATTTATTGTTGTGGAAAAAAAATCTGTATCTCTTGATGATAAATAATCCATCTGTGATGCGAGTTTTTGGAAAACAGAAAAAGGTTTATTCTTGTTCCAGCAGATCTGGACAGGGCCTAGTCCTGCCCTGACCACAGACCAACCCCTCCAAGTATCTTCTCTCATCTCCCCCAGAGCATCTGAGCTCTGAGTATTTAGACAGAAATACAAGTTACATACATATCAAAGCAGAGTAAGTTCACAGGCTTGTGTTAAAGAACTTCACTTAAATCTGAGGACAGCTAAGACAACACAGAGTTTCCAGAGGATGGGGACAGTTTGATGAACCTTTACACATGTTCATGACTGGTCTGGGTTTCAGGTAGAAATCACATTCATTTACACAAAGACAGACTGAGAGAAATCTTTTCACAATAAAAAATGTACATCACAACATGATCCTTAGTGCTCTGTGATCACTCGTCCTGAGCTCTGTTTCAGGTTCTGGAATGGAGACATGTCTGTTCACACCTGAAGAAGCAGCTTGGATGAGCTGCAAAATGTATTTGACTTCTGTCCAGTTGACAAATTGAATTTTCCTTTTGCCAAGTTGTGTATGTTATAATTTGGTGTTTTGGTTCAATTATCCAATCAGAAAGCAGAATGAGTGTCAAATGAGTCTCTTGTTGGGGTTGCCAGTTTTTTTTGTTTTTTTTTAAACCATAAGAGTGCAGTCTACATACAGTTCCTTTAAATTCAATGAAAATGTTAAATATTGTTAAATAATCATTGTTCTTGCATGTACATGTAATGTACTACAAGTTCTTTGTTCTGTTGCTTATCCATCACCATGAAGTCTGGTTAGTCCATCACCATCCTGTCAGTCTGTATCTTGTTCTCCACGTGGACCTTTTGGAGGTGTTTCCCACCTTGATCCTGGGGTCTCCAGCTCGTACTCTGCACAGATGTTTCTGTACACTATGGCTCCACTTGGTTATGTCACTCCACGTTTGTTTCCCTGCCAGTATCTTACACCCTGCAGTTCTGTGCTGGACTGTCTCAGGAGCCTCTTTGCACAGTCTACACCGATGGTCTTGTCTGGTTTGGTAGATCTGGGCCTCTATTGCTCAGGTGCTCAAGTCCTGCTCCTGTGCTCCAGGATGAACCTCTGTGTGTCCTTCAGACCAGCCCTCTCAAGACATTAGTAGGATTTCTTGATATCAGCCTCTTCAGTTCTGTTCCGGTGGTTCGCCCCTTGTAGGGATTTGTTCTGCCATGATGGTCCCTCCAGCACCTCTTCCTCTGGACCCCACTGTCTGAGACATTTGGGGGCCTTGTCCTTGATGTACTCAAGGGGTTGGATGTTTCATCCTGGACAGTGGTTTCACACTTCTCTCTCAACCACTTCTCTCTGTCTCTCTGTCTCTGTCTCTGTCTCTGTCTCTCTCTCTCTCTCTCTCTCTCTCTCTCTCTCTCTCTCTCTCTCTCTCTCTCTATATATATATATATATATATATATATATATACATATAACAACTTGATAAAAAAGTGCTTTGAATTTTGTGTTAGAAAACTGGTGCCCATTTGGACCAGAAGTCCATAAACATCATCACAACAAAGAGCTGGTTCCTCCTGTGGATAGCTGCACATCACACTAGCAAGAAACATTTTTTTTTCCTTTGGACCAAAATAAACACGCAATGCTGCTGAATCCTACATGTATTACAGATTAAGAAAATAAATTGTACGAGAGTTGGTCATCTTGAAAATAAGTGATTTAGGATTATTCAAACATGCATGAATCACTCCAAATACAACTTTGAGGTGTGAGGGGAAACAACTGTAACATGATTAAATCCCTGAAAATCCATTTTGCTGAATAAATCTGCTTTAAAATGAGTTAGAAGTAATATGACACAAAAACATACTACTGAGTCACTCTCTGATCCCATCTTATGAGAAATATTTAAAGCATCATTTATAGTAAGATCCGAAAACGAAAAAAATATACATAATTTCATATTGTCAACAATATGAATTTATATATGAATTATATATGAAGAATATATGAAGAATATGAATATATTGTCAACAGTATGAAGTGACCTTTTGTCACCTTGACAGTGGGAAGGGGAACATTAACTCATGTTGTGAAACTTTATTGCATAAAAATATCTTTACTGTCAGCAGGCTTGCGTCTCCACAGATCTGACTGATTGATTGCAAGTTGCCGCCTCTGTCCAGGGAGATGTTATTGCTTTGTCTGAATGTTCAGCAGAATGGCATTACTTCACACTTCCCCTAGTGTTAAAGGGATGGTGTGTTGGTTTGGGGATAGTACCTGTACTAAATATCTGTCATGGTTTTACATCAGTTATGTGGCAGTTTTTGGAAAAAAGTTGAGAAGAAAAATGTAAAAATACAGGAAGTAGTGCTGAGTTCTGAAAGCCTCTGTCTGATATTTCTATATTGAAAATTCCATCCAAAATGCAGAGGCATTTTCCTGACAGTTTTCTGACATTTATTTAATAAAGTAGAGGTGTTCTAATTTAATTTTTCTAATAAAAACTATTGTGCAGTTTAGAGCGGTTTTGTTTACATTATGGTTGCTAGGTAACAGTTATGGAATGGCCTCTGTGTGTGTCATATCAGTGGTGCTGCATCTATGATTTCTATGTCTGCTGCCAGGAAGTAAAACGATAAACTTCAGAAAAGTGTTGTCTGATGCACAGTACATGAGAGCAGCAAGTGCGTACTGCCCACGTGTTATTGGAATGAAAGTAGTGCAGTACAAGAGCGTACAGAGCCTGGGTTTGAAGCAGCCCCAGGCTCTACAGAAGCCTCCCGTGACTCACGGCTCTTTCACCACACAGGCCTGAGCCAACAGCAGGGAGGAGCTCAGGGACTACAGGCTGAGAGGCAGTGGGCAGTACTTACTAATCTTAATTGTTGTGTCTGTCTTTTGAAAATATCAGATTTTGTGAATTATTTCATGTTTTGTCCTTCAAATTAAATCCATCCATTTTCTTCTGCATATTCAGGGGGGCATCAGTCTAAGCAGGGACTCCCATACTTCCTTCACCCTGGACACTTCCTCCAGCTCCTCCAGGGGGACCCCGAGGAGTTTCCAAGCCAGCCCAGAGACACAGTCCCTCCAGCGTGCCATGGGTCTTCCCCGGGGCCTCTTCCTGGTGGGACATGAACACCTCCTGAGGAAGACGCCCAGGAGACATCAGAAAAGATGCCCTCCTCTCAGCCACTCCTCTTGATGTGGAGGAGCAGCGACTCTACTCTGAGCTCCTCCCGTGTGACTGAGCTCCTCACCCTATCTCTAAGGGTATTGTCCTCGTCCTCTCGGTCATTACCCAGAGCTCATGACCACCTTCAAATTACATTCATGTCAAATTATATATCAGGTGTTACATCTTGACACTTACTCTCTAAGTTACTATTACTTGAGTAGTAGTTTTCCCAAATAATTTTTTATTCTTACTTACTTACTTGTAATTTCATGAACCACTTTGTACTTCTACTTGAATAGTATTATTTTGAAGTTACTTAATCTTACAGTTTTCAGCTCCTCCACCACCTCTGCCTATAACAAGCACACCTTATAATAGTATCCGTTTAGAAAGGTAAATTAGCCTTAATAAATTAATAAATTGTGTGAGTAAAGTGAGGCACTAAGATGTTGTTGCTCCCTCTGCTGTCATCAAAGAGCACTGACATTTAAGAAAGTTCACTGCTGTAGTCCTAAAGTCCTAATGCTCTGCTAATAAAACCACATGTTCACTGTGAATACCACTGGACCACAGAGTGTGTCCAGTGTGGGCTTCAAACTGTTTTATATATGACGCAACTAAAAAGGGGAAATGGAAACAGACATTTTAGCAACTTTGAATGAATGGATTAATAAAAGAATAAAACAAGTGATAATGAAGTAAAAACACAACTCCAGGTGTGTTTTTCAGGAGGGAACTGCAACAGAGTTAAATAGTGAACAAAGTCAATTTAGCACATGTGTGTGTTAAATCCATGGAGTCTGGAGGACTAAAGGGGAGACTGAGGGGGCAGGGTCTGGAGGACTAAAGGGAAGAGTGGGGGGCGGGGTCTGGAAGACTAAAGGGGAGAGTGAGGGGGGCAGGGTCAGGAGGTCTAAAGGGAAGAGTGAGGGGGCGGGGTCTGGAGGACTAAAGGGGAGAGTGAGGGGGCGGGGTCTGGAGGACTAAAGGGGAGAGTGAGGGGGCGGGGTCTGGAGGACTAAAGGGGAGAGTGAGGGGGTGGAAGGGTGGGATCTGGAGCAATGTGGAACGGTGTGATTGGTCTAACAGGTAATCCTGTGTGATGTCATGTAGTACTTGAAATTGTCACTGAGGCCCCTGAAGGCAGCACAGACTTAGATTTAGGTGTTTTTGAGCAGCTCATGTCATTAAAACAACATATACACTGTTTAGTACAGGATAATGTGTCTAAGGTATTGAAGGAGAAGTCAATAAATAGTATTTGTGGTAGGTCAAAGGTCAAGTGAGAATGTAATGCAGGAAGTCACTTTACAGAACTTGTGGCTTAACTCAAACTGTAAAATATGTCATTTATGTTCCATGTGAACAGACTCTTGCTGGCAGACATTAGGGCCTGTACCCATTTTGTCCATGTATTTGAGCTAAATGTGTCTCATCCATGTGCAGATATATTGTATCAGCAGCTCGAGCAGTCAAAATAAGTCAGCTGTGTGCTGTCTGCATCTGATTATAACTAGTTTTATTGTCCGAGAATCAGGAGTTGAAGCATGCTAGTTGTTGTTAACTTTACTCTAAGAGCAAAATGCATTTATAAACTCATCACGGTGAATAATTAGGATGCTCAGAATGCATAAGGTAAGTGAAGAATAAAGTTCTGTGGAGCTACTTCTGTTTTTCACGTTTTAAGACAGAAAAAGTCAGATACATAACTTTAACCATTAGACTTATTTTCAGACCCCAAACTTTTACTCTTCCCACTGGGAAATGAATTGAACATTTGTGTTTCTTGCACTGTTCCTTCAGATATGATTTAGTTTGTCTAATTTTTGTGTCTATCCAGGTTTAGTGCATTATTTCATGTTTTATCCAGTTACATTCACTTCAAATTATAAATGAGATGTTACATCCCCACAGTTACTCTTTAAGTTACTATTACTTAAGCAATAATTTTCCAAAATACTAATTACTTCAGTAATTTCTTGGATCACTACCTTGTACTTCTATTTGAGTAATATTATTTTGAAGTAAATATTTTTTTCACAATATAAATTTCTATTATAGCAACATTACTCTTATTTGAGCTCTATTTTGTTCTGGTTAAAGTTCAGATTGGGGTTCATGTTGGTTTGGGTTAGGCATGGATAGTTATTTCACTTTCATTTTACATTTGTACTTGTTTGAACATGGGCAGCAGCTATGACATGATATGAGGTCATTCCATAGCTGTTACCTAGCAACCATACTGTTATCAAGTGTCTAAATCACACAATAATATGCATATATGCATAGAAAAAGAAAAAAAATAAAGATAATAAGAAGGACAATTGGCATAATAGTAACATAAATGCACAGACAAAACAGAACTAATTCATTTGACCTTCTGCATTCTGAAAACCCTGGTTCGTTAAACATGCTGGGTGTTGGGTGCTGGGTGCTGGGTGGGAGTAGAGGTGAGATCGGGCCTAAAAAATCCAGCCCGACCCGACCCGGCCCGCGGGTATTAAAACCCGACCCGGCCCGCGGGTATTAAAACCCGACCCGGCCCGCGGGTATTAAAACCCGACCCGGCCCGAGCCCGACCAATTAACTTGATTTGCAGGCCCGAGCCCGAAGCAAACCCGAAATGTCATATTTTATTTGTGACTCGGGAGGAGGAGCAGTGCTCAGCGTCGAGGTGCCAGTCTTTTTGCTCTCGTATGAAAGCAAAGCCACATTGACACATTCAGCGAAGCCAACGCAAGTTTCTGTAGCATTTTCAACAATCAATTTGAAGCTTTTCCACACCTCACTCTTACCGGTGCGTGTTTGTCTTTTCAGTTCTCCTGCCTTTAGTTTAACTTCTTGCTCCTCCATATTGGGGACACCAGGTCAAAATAGATGCAGACTTGCAGAGGGGAAGATTATTAAATTAAGAGGGGGCGTTCACGTGCGCAGAGCTCTGGCTCTGCGGATCCTGTTTAGTAGTTAAATAGCAATTACATTACATTACTTCTCTGTTTTATCCATATTATTTATTTTATAACAAGTATTCCTTAGTTTAGTATCCACACATCGTTTTAGCATACATTTTATAAACATATATTTATTTGAAGCCCGAGCCCGACCCGACCCGAAGTAATGATTGACATTTTAGGCCCGACCCGACCCGAATTTCGGGTCGGGTCGGGTCGGGCTTGGGCTCGGTCTTAAGATCTTACCTCTAGGTGGGAGGTATTCTAGCTTGTTTTTTTTTTTTTTTGTTTTTTTTTTTGTTTGTTTGTTTTTTACCTTATTAACCACTATTGCTGCTTTACTCATATGTTTGAAATGTTTATTATATTCTATGTTTTGACATTGTGAAGTATCTCCTCATCCTCACTATTATGATCGGAAAATGACAGTACAAAACACTGATCACAAAAAAGAAGTTGTCGCTACTTCCTGTATTTTTTTTTTTACATTTCTTCTCTTTTTTCCCCACACTGCCACCACAGGTATGACTTTATTAAACCAAGTAATTTGTAGAAAAACATAAAAACCTACCATATGCAAGGTTAAGTTACAGTTAAGGTGTAAGTCAAGGTTAAACCAGCAGTGAGTACGGTTTAAAATCAGTCTGCAGGAAATGAAGGTGAGTCAGTGCAACATCCCCACAAAATCGGAAAACCCAAACGTGCGTGCGCTTGTATGCGTGCGGAGGGAAAATGGAGCCGCAGGATATGTTTATGATTCAAAAATCAGAACTGCGTAGAGACTAAAAAGTACTTCAAAGTAATTGTACTTAAACAGGAAGAAATAAGTAATCCAAGAGTAAAGTGTATTTGAGAAAGCTACCCAACTCCTACTAACTAAGAGGAGTTGTCTGGACATACAGGACATAAACATGAAATACTGCACAAATCTGGTACTTTGAATGGACAGACAAGAAACACAAATGTTCAAATCATTTCATACTGCCGCATAAAGCTTTTGTCACTTTAGGCTTCCTCACAGTGGGAAGAGGAAACACAACGTTTACTCAAGTCACAGTAATGTTACTTCATTAAAAAAGTATTACTCCAGTAGAAGTAAAAAAAAAAAAAAAAAAAGCTGCTTATTTTATTTTTTACTCGAGTAAATGTACTACGCACCATGTTACTGGTCTAATACTAAAGGATTAACTTCATTTTTGTCCCCATAAGGAAGGTGTGTACAGATTGTAGTCCCCAAACTGTGCCAAATCCCCGCACACACACTCCCAGCCTGCACAGGCAGCGCAGCAGTGTGGTACATACAGATCTGCACACAGCATGCAGACCGCACACTTCCTGCTTGCTCCCTTCTGACACTAACTTCTGCTTTTACATTTCCTCATGAGCTAGAGGAGCGTCAGACCTGTTCCTCCACTACTCGAACTGCTCCGAAACTTGTACAAATCCTGCAGTTTTTTGCTATTCCAGCTTGACAACGTGTCCGCTCACGAGTCCAGGCATTTAGGAGCGTGTCGCAGCCTGCTCCCCCTCACTCTACAGGTATTTGACCCAAAACCAGTCCCTCTGACACGTCTGTACCACCCAAAACACTAGCACCTATAAAAGCCTGGATAAAGTCAAGATGAGTAAAGTGCACGTACCCATCTCCCACCACCACACACTTGATGGCCTGCATGCTGCTGCTGTCCCCCGGCTCGTTCTGACAGGATGAAGGAGCGCGTGATGGGTGCTCGCAGTTGTGTGCTCGGGGCGGGTGCTCTTGGGTGGCCCCTCCCTAACTCTCTGGGTCTCTTCCTGATTCTTGCACTCTTTTTAGTTTCGGCACTTGATGATACGAGAGGCAGCTTCCTTCTGGTTGGCTGTGGCTTTGTTGTTATCACACTTTTGTGTTTTGTGCATGTTTTATTCTGAACTCTTAAGGATATGGCATTAGACGTTTCCATTCTTTCTGAGTGTGGGCTTGCCTCTCCGTAGTTCTTACCAGTAATTTGGTGACAGCTGCTTGTCTTCAAGGAGATGTTATTGCCTTGCCCAAATGTTCCACAGGATGACATTACACATCTGCATTCTTGCCCCTCCGTAGAGCCTGTACCTCAACTTAGTGGTCTAAGCTGCTTGTCTCCATGGCGATGTTGTTGCATTAGGAAATACAGTTTGGAGATGGTCTGAAAACATTTAAAGTGCCTGTGACAGATTAGGCTAATTTTACTAAAACACACACACACACACACACACACACACACACACGGGAATTATGATATACAATTTCACTAAAACGTTACACATTTTTACCCAGTTTACAGAAAATTCAGTTTAATAAAAAAATATGTTTATCCATCCAGCCATTTTCTTCTACTTATCCAGGGTCAGGTCGCGGGGGCATCAGTCTGAGCAGGGACTCCCAGACTTTCTTCAACTAGGACACTTCCTCCAGCTCCTCCAGGGGGACCCCGAGGTGTTCCCAGGCCAGCCCAGAGACACAGTCCCTCCAGCGTGTCCTGGGTCTTCCCCGGGGCCTCTTCCTGGTAGGATGTGCCCCAAGGAGACATCCGGAACCCCTCAGCTGCTCCTCTTCACATGTGACTGAGCTCCTCACCTTATCTCTACAGGAGTGCCCAGCCACCCCGCGAAGGAAACTCATTGTACTGACAACTCATTTATTTAGTTCAATGAAGGTTTAAAGTGTCAACAAAAGTCCTTCCTTGTGCCTAATCTCTTTTGGAGTGTTCCGTGTTGATGGCATAGGGAAATAGGTCAGAGGGGTTTGGTTTTAAAATCAGTGCTACTTCCTTTAGTTTTCTACTTTTTTTTTTTTTTTTACAAACTGTCAGTCAGCTGATGTAAAACTATGTGAAATATTTAGCACAAGTACTATCCACCACATTCAATCAGAATCTGGAGCTGCCACACTCTGGGCGCATGTGTGTTTGTGTGTGTGTGTGCGTGTGTGTGTGTGCATGTGCGTGTGTGTGTGTGCGAGAGCAGTTGAAGAGCCCATATGACACTATTTTCTGATCTATAGTATAATGTAGTTTCCTTGTCAGTGTCAGAGTTGTGTTTTGTTTTGTTTACATGTTTAACACACAAACCCTGCACATTTATGCTGAAGTGCTCCACTGTATTTTTTAACTCTGTCATTTCAGCCCTGAAATTTCCAACTACTACTTTTGAACTAAAGGTAAAAGGCACTGTTCACTTGAAGACTACAGTTTCACAAGGTGGAACAGAGCATTTTGAGCTTTGGAGATGTACAGACTAAAAGAGTTACTCAGACATGTGTGAATGAAACAAAACACAAGTCCAGGTCAGGTTTTGAAGAGGTAACATCTGCAGTTTGCTCAGTATAGAATCCACTGTAATAACACAAACAAAAATGAGCAGATGATGTTGGTTTCTTCAGCAGGTCCAGACTATGACCCAGGAACCAAATGTGGCTCTCAGTCCAGTTTTTCTTGGCCCTCAGGATTGCAGGTGAATTTGCCCACATGTCACTATGTCATTATATGTCATGTGGCACTAGGACTTGGTGGACTAAAGACATGTCTCTCTGATCGATCAGTTGCCTATAAAAGGGGTCATGGCAAAAGCTCATAAAACTATGACGTATCTCTATGTGTCTGACGTGCACTCAGAACACTACACCTGCAGGGGGAGCTCATGCACATACAACTATTTATGCAGGAAAAAAAGTTTATGGGTTTAATCTACCGTTTTACAGATAAATATCCTAAAAATAACAAATCAAATACCAAAAACTCGCTCAGTCGCTCATGCAAAGTTTTCACAGCAGTGCAACAGGCTTTCTGTACCAAAATAAGACGTTCCAGAGGGAATGTCCCCAGAGGCTTTCCTGTTGTGTCCAGAGCTCACCTGCGCCCCCTGGAGGCTGCTGTGATGTTGCAGGATGCAGAGGGCACAGAGAAGGAGACACTTTTGTCCTGAGTGTTCTCCTCATACTGCTCTGACGCTGGATCTGATGATTGCACCTGCTGAGCTGCACTGAGACTTTTGTTTGAGTTTTCTATTATTGTATTTTACTGCTTAAACTGTCCCTAGAGGAAGAATAAAGTGATTGATAGATAAACAGAATGATTAGTCAACTACGATTCCATTAACTGATTATTCAGCTGAACGATTAAGAGACTGCAGCTGTGTTAAGTGGAACTGAGCAGAAGTATGTTTTTGTAAATCCGGATAAAGCCCATAGCTAATATTAAAGATCTTATTGAGGATCTAAGCATAAAGTTTGGTGGCTCAGTCTAACCTGTTATAAATGTTCTAAGGATGGTGATATATCAGTTGCAGTGTTGGTATTGGCCAATATCGATACAGATTCTTTGAAATCTATGCTTGATGCCAATATTTTTTTGTGCTGCTCCAGTCTGTGCCCTTTTTAAACAGACTTCAAATGGAAGTCAAAATGTGACATGTGACACAAACATATACCACATGATTTCATAGTCCAGATAAATACATTTTGTTATTATTTTAACAAAAGTGGAAGTAAATAGCACAGATTAATTTAAGATACATTTGTGAGCCTCGATTTGAAATGATAAATACTGGTTATAGGCCACAGCAAATATCATGTATCAATATCAGCTCCAAAAAATCCACATCAGCCCTAAATATTCAACACATCTCTGAATTATCCACCAGCCTATGGCCCTCTGTTGGCCTTCTGCTTCATCTTTGTTTTAATGAAAAAATGTGAGTTTTGTTCTAGATGACGCATTCAAGATATGTGCGATACTTGAACCCCAAAGACATTTACAGCTGTTTGAATGTTAGCATCGTAAATATCTAAAAATACATTCTATTTTTATTATTACCTCATATGAATTAAGAGGTAATAAAATGGTCTGCTGCATTGTACAGTCCCTGACAAAAGTCTTGTCGCTTATCCATTTTGTAGAAACAAAAGCTTATAACCTGACTTTAAATTAATCGATTGGTTTTAGAAATGTCTCATATGAAGCTAAAACCCTCCCAAATTATGCTCAATAAACAAAAATAAATTTGCTTCACTGAAGAAAGATTGATCATTTAATGAACACAGAAAGGTCAGATTTTGGCAAGACAAAAGTTTTGTCGCCTACAGAAAATTGAACAAATAATTTACTTCAAATACAAAAATATGTTGCATAACATCAGTGAATTAAGTAGTGGTGCTGTGAGATCCATATTTAATATCTTGTATGACTCCATGAGCTTGAAGGACGCATCCATGCGGTTCAACAATGATTCATACAATTTGTTGATGAAGTCATCAGGAATAGCAAAGAAAGCGTCTTACATGCCTCCCAGAGTTCATCAAGATTCTTTGGTTTTGCCTTCCATGCTTCCTCTTTCATTCTACACCAGACATGCTCAATGATGTTCATGTCTGGTGACTGGGCTGGCCAGTCCTGGAGCACCTTGATCTTCTTCACCTTGAGAAACTTTGATGTAGAGATAGAAGTATGCGATGGAGCACCATCCTGCTGCAAAATTTGACCCTTTTATGGTTGGGAATGTAAGAGGAGCTAATACTTCTTGATATTTTAGGATATTGATATTTACCTTCCACCCTGCAAATGTCTCGCACAGCCCCATACTGGATGTAACCCCAGACCAGGATTTTTCCTCCACCAAACTTAACTGTTTTCTGGGTGAATCTTGGATCCATGTGGGTTCCAGTAGGTCTCCTGCAATATTTGCGGCGGCTGTGATGTAATTCAACCGAGGATTCATCTGAGAAATCCACCTTCTGCCACTTTTCCAGTGTCCATCCTTTTAACAGGCTGTGGGCCTTGGCAAATGCCACACGGTTTTTTAATTGCCTTTTGTTTAGTGCTGGTTTCTGTGCACTGATTCGACCATGGAGGCCATTTCGAGACAGAATTCTACAAACTGTTCAGGTTGACACAGGGACTTGAGGTGACCAGGTGTAGTGGAGTCTGCTGCAGTGGAAAAGGGGCCTTGGATTTTCGAATCAACAAACAGTCCTCCTGAGCAGTTGTCTTGTGGGGTCTGCTGGACCTGGGCTTGTCAAAAACATCTCCAGTCATTTCAGATCTTTTTCTTATTCTTTGTACTTGACGCTGAGACACATTGAAGGTGTCACCACCTCAGCAGTGGATCTGGTCTTCAGCCTCTTGATAATTAACGCTTTGGTCTCAGGGTGGATCTTAGGCATGTTGTCAGGGGTCAAGTTTCAGTTGATGTGAAGGTCTGGTGTGCTGGGGTTCTTTTTATACACACCCACTAATTGATTGATCAGTAACTGATCACAGGTGAGGCTGTAATCTAGGATTGGGTGCATCATATGACAAGGCCACAAGACTTTTGTCTTGGCAAAATCTGACCTTTCTGTGTTCATTAAATGATCAATCTTTCTTCAGTGAAGCAAATTTATTTTAGTATATTGAGCATAATTTGGGAGGGTTTTAGCTTTCATATGAGACATTTCTAAAACCAATCGATTAATTTAAAGTCAGGTTATAAGCTTTGTTTCTACAAAATGGATAAGTGACAAGACTTTTGTCAGGGACTGTACTTCATTTTGATTGCTTAAATCCACCCATCACTTGGAGCCTGACAGAGGCTGACTAACAGGAGGAGTGGGCAAAGAAACTGTTGTGTGATGATGCCATAGAACCATCGCTCCAGACTGTCACAGATTGTATATTTATATGATAATACTCTAAACTGAGCTTTTAACCATGTTATAGCATTGTCCCCTCATCAAAAACATATCTGGAGTGGTATTTTGCTCTATTCTTGTTTGTTTGATGAACTGATTTAGTCTGCTCTTTCTAAACCTCATAAGAACCCCAGCTTCGTGATGTTAAAAAGTAAAATGAAAAGTCTCCTGTGCTGTTTTTAACTCCACAAATCAACATTTTTATGTTCTCAAATGGTGTTAATTGCAACTGCATGTTTGTGTTAATATTTGGGAAAAAGTAGCTAAAATTGTATTTGTTTGGTGTTTAATGTAGTTAATATGATGAAGTGAGATTCAGGAGCAGGAGCACGCCTCAGCTGCCCTCTCCTCTCACCAGAGAAACACAACTCACCTCGACCACACCTCCCAGAAGTCTATATGTAGCAGCCTTTCCCATCATCCCAGTTTGTCTTGGTGAACTCCACCCCACCCTCCTATCCCCTATTTTTCGTCTTTCAGTCATAAGACCCCTATGAGGAGGGTCCCGTCCCGTCTGGGCCAACTGAAGTTTGAGATGGAGCCCCCACCTATAGTCTCAACCAGCCATCTCTGCCCCGCCTCGTACATTATCAGTAAACTTCTTCACACTATGTCGTTGTTGGTGTGGTCCGAGCTAGTGAATTGAATAGTATAGATGATTTAAATATGTTATGTCTTATGTCTTAGCAGTTAAAATACCCACTCTTTGAGTTCTAAAACAGAAAATGCAGTGGCAAAGGTTCTAAAGAGCATGTTTTTGTTCTTTAAAAAAAAAGACTGCCATCTCTTGGTTACATCATTGCTTATTTATTTTATATATACATACACTACCAGGCAAAAGTTTAGACTCACCCCTACTTTTTCTGTGTTTGGTTCATATTGACAACATTATGAACAAAATTTTATTTTTAATCACTGTAAAACTATAGATAACAACACTGAAAACAAAACTGAAGTGTCTGACAAAATAATATTGTTAATGAATCGTCTAAATCTGCGACTCATCAAAATAGCCTCCTTTAGCTTTAATAACTGCTTGACAAATTCGAGGCATTCGGTCAATCAGGGACATGAGATAGTCACTTGAAATTTACTTAAATTTAGTTACTTTGTGCAGATCACCAGTCTGACCCCCTGCAAAACAGCCCCAGACCATGACGCTACCTCCACCATGCTTTACTGTGGGGACAACACATGCAGGATTCAAACGCTCTCCAACCCTACGTCGAACAAACTTGCGCCGCTTTGATCCAAAAATTTCGAACTTTGATTCGTCTGTAAACAGAACTGTTTTCCATTCTTCTACAGTCCAATCCTTATGTTCTCTTGCCCACTGAAGTCTCTTTTTTATGTTCTGCTTTCTTAGGAGTGGTTTTCTGGCTGCTACCCTGCCGTTCAGACCAGATTCTCGCAGTCTACGCCGCACAGTATCCACTGACACATTATTGCTCCTAGTAGAGTTTAGCTGAGCTCTTATCTCTGGGGCTGTCTTTTGTCTATTTCGAAGGCTGGTAACTCTGATGAACTTATCTTCAGCTTTAGATGTGACTCTGCTTCTACCAGAACGAAATCGGTCTTCATGTGAACCTGTTTCTTCATATCTCTTTAATGTTTTTGCAACTCCACTTTGTGAGGCTTTAACTTTCTGGGCAATTTGTCTTGTAGAATAGCCTTCTTTTTTCAAAACCTGAATTTCAATCCTTTTTTCTTTACTTATCTGAGGTTTTCTGGCCATTTTCATACTACTTCAGATTCAGATAATTTTCAAATTAGCTAAACATATGCTTCTTTCTAGAAATTATCAGTCTTTCATATAAACTCAAAAAAGCCACACACAAATATTTGTGAGACATGAAACCCTTTAGAAAGATATTTTGAGTGTTTTAACCAAACAAAAGATAGGGTAATGTTGCTAGCTAAACTTTCCAGAAATGCGTTCATGCATAAATGCTTAGAAATATCCCTACCTGAACATTATACTTGCTTAAATTGTGTTATTAGTATACTTATGAATGTTCTAGCAATAAATGTACATGTAAATAACTAAAGTTAACTCTTAATTGGGCTGTTCTGACACAAATACAGGAAAATTAGGAGCGAGTCCAAACTTTTGCTTGGTAGTATATATATATATATATATATATATATATATATATATATATATATATATATATATATATATAGCACAGAACTTTGAATGCAAAAATAAATATGAAATAACTTTAGCAGAATAGTAACAAGCTCTGCGAGGAGAGACAAGTAGAGAGGGAGTGTCTAGCTGACCAAGCTGTGTGTCCTTTCACAGCTCTGCTCATACAGGGACAGGCAGGTCTGGGCCAGTCGGAGCAGAGGAGCCGTAGAGGTGTCCAGCTCCTTCTACAACACACACACAACACATCCCTCAGTCGTCCAGGTAGGATCCATGGCAAAAGAAAAAGATCTGTTCCTTCAACTGGACACAAGTTCTAGCGAAACTGTAAACAAGTGTGTGTGTTAGTTTCAGAGTAGTTTCAGTGTAGTTAGCTCCTTCCTTCAGGCAGATATAAGGCACCAGCGTCTGACCAGGACTGAAGAAGCAGCTTGGATGAGTTGTCAAACGTCTTCAGTCAAAAACTTTGTCCAATTCAGATCATTTTTCTTTTGCTATTTAATTCAAATTTTGAATCAGATGTTGTGGCCCTACTGTTATACTTTAACTAACTTTTACTTGAGAAGTACTTTTTTACTCGAGTAATTTCTTGGACCCCTGCTTTGTACTAACATTAATATTGAGTAATGTTATTGTTATGTAAGCTTTGCATTTGTAGACTGTCAATCAGCACAGTTAGTGGAAGTGGTACAATCACTACTTGTTGGCGCTCTGTCTTTTTTTTTCGTAATTCTTTGACTCACAGCAGAGGTCTCGTAGTAGTCCAGGCTGTGTGCCTGAGCCCAGGCCTGAGCCTCCTGTGTCTGCACAGCCCTCCGCTCCTCCAGGTCACACTTATTCCCCAGCAGAACACCTACCAGACAGAGCAGTGCATACGGTTACACTGAGAGGAAGAGACACACCACTCAAGTCTACTGTGTCCCACCAACACTGACGATAAAGAGGAGCGCATGCTTAGCCACAGCTCTGCAGTACCACATTGCTTTGGTTTAGTGCAGGTCATCCTAGTTCGGTCCTGGTTTAGTCCTGGTTTAGTCTCGGTTTAGTCCCGGTTTAGTCCCGGTTTAGTCCTGGACATACTCACCTGACACAGTGCTTCCCAAACAGTGGTCCTGGACCCTCTGGAGCCAGCGAGTGCAGCTGTGGAAGGACTGTTCACTGCTCAGATCAAACACCAGACACAGGAGCCACGCCTCTCCCCACTGACAAGAGACACACACAACCAAACTGAGACACACTCACAACCACACTGAGAGAGACACACAACCACACTGAGAGAGACACACAACCACACTGAGAGACACAACCACACTGAGAGAGACAACCACACTGAGAGAGACACAACCACACTGAAAGACACAACCAAACTGAGAGACAGAGAGACACCACACACACAACACACTGAGAGAGACACACAACCACACTGAGAGACACAACCACATGAGAGACACACCAACTGAGAGACACACTGAGAGACACAACCACACTGAGAGACAGACACACAACCACACTGAGAGACACAACCACACTGAGAGAGAGAGACACACCACATGAGAGAGACACAACCACACTGAGAGACACAACCACACTGAGAGACACAACCAACTGAGAGACACACAACCCTGAGAGACACAACAACCACACTGAGAGACACACAACCACACAGAGACACACAACCACACTGAGAGACACAACCACACACACACAACCACACTGAGAGAGAGACACACAACCACACTGAGAGAGAGAACACAACCACACTGAGAGACACAACCACACGAGAGACACACAACCACACTGAGAGAGACACACAACCACACTGAGAGAGACACACAACCACACTGAGAGACACACAACCACACTGAGAGACACAACAACACACACACAACCACACTGAGAGAGAGAGACACAACAACCACATGAGAGACACAACCACACTGAGAGACACACACCACACTGAGAGAGACACAACCACACTGAGAGACACAACCACACTGAGAGACACACATGAGAGACACACAACCACCTGAGAGACACACAACCACACTGAGAGAGACACACACACTGAGAGAGACACACAACACACTGAGAGACACAACCAACCACACTGAGAGACACACAACCCACTGAGAGAGAGACACAACCAACCACACAACCTGAGAGACACAACTGAGAGACACACAAGAGAGAGACACACACCACACTGAGAGACACACAAGAGAGACACACAACACACACTGAGAGAGACACACAACCACACTGAGAGACACACAACCACACTGAGAGACACACAACCACACTGAGAGACACACACACACACACACACTGAGAGAGAGAGAGAGACACAACCACACTGAGAGACACACAACCACACTGAGAGACACACAACCACACTGAGAGAGAGACACAACCACACACTGAGAGAGACACAACCACACTGAGAGAGAGAGAGAGACACACAACACACTGAGAGACACACAATGAGAGAGAGACACACACCAAGAGAGACACACAACACACACTGAGAGACACAACCACACTGAGAGACACAACACTGAGAGACACAACCACACCACACTGAGAGACACAACCACACTGAGAGACACACTGAGAGACACAAAGACACACACACAACTGAGAGACACACAACCACACTGAGAGAGACACACAACCACACTGAGAGAGACACACACACCACACACACTGAGAGAGAGAGAGACACACACACACACACTGAGAGAGACACAACCACACTGAGAGAGAGAGACACAACCACACTGAGAGACACACAAGAGACACACACACTGAGAGAGACACAACCACACTGAGAGACACAACCACACTGAGCACACACACTGAGAGACACTGAGAGAGACACACAACCACAC